TCCTTGTCTCCTCAGCATAGGAAAGTTCTGAATTGTGATTAAGGATATTATTACATAAATTATTTACGCTATGCACGGAAGCAAGGAAGGCAAATAGAGTGACACTAGAAATTTCCCTTACCCCAAACAGCTTCATTCATTAAGAGTTTAGAGAATTTTTTCTAGACCTGATTTAAGGTGAAAATGAATTTCGTTTAAAAAGTCACCGCATTTTCAAACTGGACTCGAACGAAGGACATACGTAAATTAAGGTACAAGATACCTTTCATTGATAAATACTCATTTTCTTCTTTTTTTCGCATTGGTCAACCAGTCTTTTCTTATTAATCTTAAAGTTACAGCTAAGCAAGCACGAATCGCAGTAGCAGAGGATACATTTTTTAATTTTTTATGTGCATAATATAACGAATAACGTATGTACAGAGAAACCTTATTTGCCCAACAGTTGAATGTGTTGGTAAATGATATTTAATGATTTATAACATTTTTATAGTATATTATATTTTTTAATATTTTGCACTGTAAAGAATAAAATATCATAAAACATGTATAAAAAAATATACAAAAGCCAAGTAGTCCATTAATTTTTTGCCGTTTTTCACGGCCATTGTCAATCCGAATTCGGTCGCAAAAAAAAGCAGTGTTAGTTTAAAAAAGCTCATTTTTTTAACTAACAACCTCTGAATTCATCACTCACAAATCGGCAACATCATTGGTTTCTTTTGTTCAGGTCAAGATGAATGGTATTTTCAGAAGATATTAAAATGTTAGTTATTTACCTTTAAAAAAAGCAATCATTTCAATTTAACATAAGCGATAGGAATCATTTTATCATTAGAATTTTCTCATTACAAATGTGAAAATCCTCGTGAAATTTTCCTCCGCGCAAATTACTGCGAGCGCTTGAAATAAATCATAATTTCCTTCAAAACGCTTTAATTTTTCAGGTTCCTAAGAAATTTTTGCCCTTTCGTATGAATCTTTCATATATAATATAAATTTCGTTCTCCCCTTTCTTTATATAACTATCATAAACATTGTTTTGATTATAAAAATATAAAAGCTCATTTTACGTCATGTGAAATAATTAAAATAAAAATTTAAATTAATTTTACGTTTATGTAAAATGCAATGTATATAACTTAAGGCATAGTATAACTTAAATTATAAGTGCAATAAATTCTGCTAATGGGTCAGCCTCTTAGTCATTGTGTAACAAACCTCTAGTCACGCCCCGAAATGTTGGCGGCGAATGTTTAGATTCACAATTTGTGAATCTAAACCATTTTCGTGTGTACAGGATTACGTAGGCCCGATCTGCTAGTAAAAATATATATTGTCATTTGAGAAGACTGTCATTAAGAATATAATAATAAATATAAATATATATAATAAATATAAATTGTCCCCTTTATAATTCTGCGCTGCTGCCCGCAACTACGTCGCGTAGAATAGGCTGAAGGCGTAACATTTAGACAGAAAGACGGATATACTTAAATTTGTATATAAATTATGGCCTGTTTTATTCTGATGTATAAGCTATATTATTGTAAAGTTTTATTAAATTCCATTCAGTAATATTTGCGTGAAAGAGTAACAAACATCCATCCATACATACAAACTTTCGCCTTTATAATATTAGTAAGGGTGATACAATGCTGAACTTATATTTTAATTAATTAAAAATGTGTTTTATTGTAGTTATTCATTTGATTGGTCTAATAATACTTATTGTATTTTGTGGGGTTTATAAAAACTGTTATTTTCTATGAGAGAAAGTGGTAGACGGTTCTTCTGATGGTAGGTCATGCATTACCGTCACCCATTGTTATCTACAACACCTGTAACAATACTGCCAATACGATACCAACCTTAAAAAACCCGGACAAATGCGAGTCGGATTCGTGCACAAAGGGTTCCATACCATCTATAAAAACGAAATAAAAATAATGTCTAATGGGCCCCCCCACTTAAATATTTTTTATTCTGCTTTTTGGTATTTTTTGTTGTAGCGGCAACACAAATACATCATCTGTGAAAAGTCATACAGCCTGGTGATAGACGGACAGACAGACAGAGAGACAGTGAAGTCTTAGTACTAGGGTTCCGTTTTATCCTTTGGGTACAGAACCCTAAAAAGAGTTGGGAATGACCTCATAGACTAAACACAAAAGTGTAATACTTTCACTTCACCCCAGGTCAAACTTGACCTGGGGTGAAGTGCAACCGCAGAAGCTGTTGCGTGACTGTAATTGAAGGTTGAAGCAAAACTTTAAAAAAGTTAGTAAATCTTTATGAAAATTTCATTGCTCTAGCAGCACTGAGGCTGAGATGCCTGTTGATAATTTCTCATGGGAGCACAAGGATTTTTTCCCGAAAAAATGGTTTTATCCGAGAAGATTTTTTTACAGTATTTAAAAGGGTTGTAGTTTTATGTTAATTATGATAAGGTTGAAGTGTTAGTACGTATCGTCGCAATGTAGCCCCGGATCTTCAATTTTATTTTTGGGTGGGGCCACCCACGCGCACTTATATTTATTTTTACCTCTATCATCTATATAATTTCAGCTATCAGAGGTCCAACAATTGATTGACATTTGGAGAAAACCTACATAAGCCTTCCGGAAATAATGCATCCACCGCTGTCTTTTTTTTACACGGAAAAAGAAAACAGGAACTCTTATGGTTTGAAATAGTAATGTGGCGCTTCAAACGCGAAAGTGGAAAAATTACTGTTTCAATTACCTCTAGCTATCAGCCTCTTAAATTGCTCGAGGAAGCTCTACTCAAAGAGCACGTATTTTCAAATGGTCTTATGCCAGTTGAGCAAATTGGCTTTCGAGCTCAACACTCCTGTCCGGATCAATTATACCGCCTAACGGAAAATGTTCGCCCTTAAAATTGAAGAAGCATTGAAGCAATACTTGGCACATCTATTGTTATATCCTTTCCATCATACAAACAATTTCGAATATCGTTATAAAACGATAACTTCGAACGAGAGATGTCGCCATTGCTTCTTAGAAATTTAAATTTTTTATAGTGCTAATCTCTGCATTTAAGATTAACATTAAAACTTGTAGAAAAAGTACGAAAAGATTGTCGCCACTGTGGGAATCGAACCCACGTCTTCGACATTCACGGCCTGACGCTTTAGCCACTAATCTAAACGGCTGATTGCCACACTGACGAAAATCTTAATGTGTTTTATCTACATAAATAAAAATGAAAATCAAATATATATTGCATTTGTGAATCCAAATTAAAATTTTACTCTTCGAACTTTTTGTTCAGCAAATAAATCTATGTCGTAATTAAACTCGTGTGCAATTCGATTTTCTATCGCTAAGATTGCAAGAACCGATAAGCGTTACTGGCTATAGAAGATCACAAATAATTTTGAATTAGTTTTAGTTCGCTAAAACTTCGCTCACAACTTCCGGATGTAGTGGCAAGCATAGAGTAAATTCGCAGGGCAATACAAGTGGCTTCACCGTACAGTATGGTGCTAGCAGCGTCCATAAGACATATAACTAACTGACCTCTATACAATCAATGAAGTTATTTCTATAACTGTATGTAGTGTCCACGTAAAATCCAAGAATGAAGTCTTTAGATGGAACTACATGAAATGGTTGAATTTAAGTGTCAATTAGTGTCTCATGAATTATTACTGAAATTAAATTAAAATCATAATTAAAAATATTGAATTATGGAGGATCGAAAATTAGCTAATATTTCGAGTAGAATACTTTTAAGAAACCAAAAGCTTTTACGTTGTGGAGAATTACAATTTACAAATATATAATATAAGACCACAAACTATTATTGTTAGCGTAATCGTACTAGGTATTATGCGTTAAATTAAAGCGGCATCTATACTTAGTCTAATACAACGCCTGGGCAGCAATATACGACTGAGAGTAAATATAAGATAGCGCCATCTATTGTGAGCATTTTGAACAACGAACAGTTATTCCACCATGATATAGAATAATAATTATGCTTCCACCCACCCAATCCATAATCCACCAATACCGATTGGCCGCTTTTAATTATTGATTTAATTTTCAATTTGATGATTGGTTAATATCAAAAGCTCTTTTTTTCATACGCGAAAAAATTGTTAAATTACAAATCTTGTGCCACGTAATCGAAAACAGAATGTACAACGAAAACAAATTCTTGCAAATCAATCTGTCATTCATATGACTGTACCAGCAGTGTATCCGCCTTAAAATTAATTGTTTAAGTGTGAACAAAAGTAAGTAATTGTCAAGCTTTTATCTGTATCCTCTTCATAATATAATTTTAAGTTTCAATAGTGCAATTACGGTAACTAATTTTGAGATTTTCATTCACAGCAGTGCTCCTTGAATTGACGTCATTAATTTCCATCACAAAACAAGAATTTCTACTGAAGTAGTTTTCCTTTTGTTTAAAATCAGACGCAGTTCAAAAACACATAACACTCTTCGGAATATTATTGTATTCGAAATTGGTTTTTGACTGTATAAACATTTTCCCACACATTATAAATAAGCGAAGTATTGAGTTAAAATTTGTTATACACCTTACTACAAAGACTTGTTCGTGATAAGTTCTACGATTAGCCCACTTTTCATTTAGCTAGGAAGCTATGAAATAATAATAGTCATTTCACATTTGTCAATTACCACCGTGCTTAATTGGTGCTATTACGAAAATGTGTCAGCTCCTTGTAATGTTAAATAGCGACCTTAATTTTTACGAACGTATTTTATATATCAGTTTAATGTTCACAACGACAGTGGTATTTGCTAAAGCTATATGTATACTCTTAACTCCTCTAGATAACATTGATAAGATAACACTTGATATATGTTACACCTCAATATTAATAGGCATTTTGAACTAGAAGCTTTAATATTATTTTGAATTGTTGTAGGTAAAAGGGTCCCAATATGACGACCCAAGTGCAAGCATTATATGACTTCACCGGTGAGGTAGGCACAACAGAAATGTCAATAACTTGTGGTGAAATTTTAACACTCCTAAATACCGAAATTGGTGAAGGATGGTGGGAAGGGCGCAACGCAAAGGGAGAAACAGGTCTTTTCCCAGCAGCTTATGTAAGAAAACTTACACCTGATGAATCAGCACCAACAAAAATTGCTCCAGCCGCACCCAGATATGATCAAGCAGCTGATGATTGGGGTGAGCAGCAATTTAGTGCTGGGGACAATAACTACCAACGTGCAACATCTCATGATGATGGTTGGGATGATGACTGGGATGATGACACATACTCTGAAATAGGTCCAGGAGCCCAACAACAGAATAAATCAAACTTCAACCAACAACAACCATTAGCACCGCTCCCAGGAATGCCAATCAATGACTACAACCAACAGATTGATGATACAGCATCAAATTTTGGATCAAGTGTAGGTACAGTTAGAAAGAACAAATTTGCACCTTCCTCAAAAGTCAGTGGGGAGAGTTACCTCCTAGGAACATTAAATGTAGAAGTGCCAGACTCAGACAAAGTATACATTATTCAGGATGAAGATGGGTATATATGGTCACCTATAGCCCAACCATATTCCGTGACTGTAGCTTCACCCAAAAAAGAATCAAAGTTCAAAGGAATCAAGAGTTTCATTGCATATCAATTAACACCATCATTTAATAACATCCAAGTGTCTAGGAGATATAAACATTTTGATTGGTTGCATGAAAGATTACAAGAGAAATTTTCTTTGATACCTATACCACCCCTGCCAGATAAGCAAATCTCTGGACGATATGATGAACAATTAATTGAACGTAGGCGAGTTCAATTACAAGAATTTGTGGACTGGATGTGTAAGCATCCAGTACTTTCCAAAAGTGAGGTTTGGCAACACTTTCTTACATGTACAGATGAAAAACGGTGGAAAGCTGGCAAACGACAAGCTGAGAGAGATAATCTTTTAGGGCTTAATTATTGTATATCTCTAGTTGTACCTGAAAAAGCTTTACTACAATCACAAGTAGACCACATCACAGAGCAAAGTCACACATTTGTAAGCAGCATGGACACATCTGTCAAATCTGTCTCCAATATGTGTATTGCCCAAACTAAGCGTTGCCAAGGGCCATACAAAACTGACTGTCAAAAAATTGGGGAGGCATTTTACAATCTTGGGAATGCTCTTAGCTTGGATGAAGGAACAATAGTTTCTACATCAAAACTTACTTCTGCAATAAAAATGACCGGCGGTGCTTATATTGAAATTGGCAGAATGTATGAGGAACAACCAAAATACGACTTTGAACCTCTTGGTGACAAATTCCATTTGTACAAAGGTATTGTTGGAGGATTCCCAGAGGTTTTGGCAAATCACAAAGGAGCAGTCCAGAAGAAAAGGGAATGCGAAAGGTTAACGGCTGAACACAAAATGGAGGTTGCACAACTGAATGAAGTTCTGAGAAGAACTGATGTCATATCATATGCCCTACTTGCCGAAATAAATCATTTCAAATCGGAGAGGACTGTAGATTTAAAGGCAACCATGCAAAAGTTTCTCCGGCAACAGATTAACTTCTACAAAAGAGTAGTAGACAAACTTGAAACAACATTACAACATTATGATGATTAATATTTATTTTAGATAGAATTGTTTTAAGAGAGTAAAGGAATTGATGTAAACTCTTTTAGTGATTGTCAGCAGAAACAATGCCATTGTTTACTTAAGTGTCAGCGAAAATCATTGGTATTACAATTTTATAGTTTATACATACATATAATCCAAAGGATTAGTAGGACTTGATATAATGAATTTACATTGTGATGAAATTAAGGACTGAATGTAAAATAATATTGATCATGGTACACACTACTGTTTATTATTTAGCTTTACTGAATTTACTGTATATATTTTTACATTCTTGCATCTTCTTGGGATTATATTTTTTATTAATTATACATATTTTATTTTTAGATTATACTTACTAATTTTGGGTCGAAGTTTTTGGACGTTATATGTGTATGATGTTAGAGTAAACGCGCGCTATGTATTATTCCATTTTTTCCTATGGCCCAGCTAATAAAACATGCAATTTGTTTATACTTTTTATTTCATTATTTTACAAAAAAAAATCAACCAAACTGTAAACCCATTTTTATAATATAAGTAAGTACTTCAGTATAAAATAAACAAGAAATCAATTGTTAGACATATATATAATTACATGAATATGATTTTATTTTCAGAATCAAGAAACACATGGTAACGCCTTACTGAGCATCCAACTACCAACCAACTAAAACTGCAAAAGCTTTATAAAAAATAATGGCAGAAGAGAAAAAGAAGGATTCGAATGCACTTTTATCAAAGAAAAAGAAAGTGAAACCACGAAAATCTCGGGATGCTGATTGTCTGAGTGTTAATTTCCTCAAGTGTGTTCTTCACATTTTCAACGTCGTATTCTTGGTGAGTTAACAATTGTGTATCCCTTCTTAATAATATTACGGTGGTAGGGCCTTTAAAATATGTGAAGTCCTCCAACCTGCAGTGGGGCCGCGTGGTGGACTATGCCCTGATACCCTCTGTGCAGAGGAGGCCTTTGCCTAGCTATAGGCTGATAATTTACTTTTACTTTAACCGATTTTAAATGCCATTAATATTTTTGAGGGACCGTATATTATCTAAACCTTCCTCCTGAAACGCTCTATCTAGATAAAAACCCGTATCAAGATCCGTTGCGCAGTTTTGAGGATCTAAGCGTACATAGCGACAGACAGAGAGCGGGACGGCTTTTTTTAATGCGAAAACTTGTCAAACGAGCAGACGGTTCACCTGATGTTAAGTGAATACCGCCGCCCATAGACATCTGCTACACCTGAGGGCTTGAAGATGCGTTGACAACCTTTTTGGAAATTGGTCTCCGGCTACCTGACTCACCAGAGGAAACGCGAAAGTATTTGTCATACTTCCACTTTACGCCGGTCTTCTGTGAGGTCGTGGTACTTACCCGGACGGGCCTGCCCATTTGTGCAACAGCCGAGGCTGCTGCGTGGCTCTACCACTTTGTTTTATACTAGTGTGGTGGAACTAACTCCCGGGCTCCCCTCACTTGCAGTTCGCCGGCGTGGGCGTGCTGACGGTCGGCGCGTGGACGGTAGCGTCAAGGCACAGGTTCGTGCCCCTGCTGCCCACCCCGACGTACCCGGCGATAGCGTACCTGCTCGTCATCGCCGGCGGCATGGGCGTGCCCTTAAGCGCTCTCGGCTGTTGCGGCCTCAAGACTGAGAACCGCACCAGCTTGCTATGTGTAAGTACTTCACGACTACAACAGATCTTCTAGGTCGCAGTGGTCGTTGGGTTTCGCCAAACCCCTCCCACGCAGCATTGATATTTTTTAAAATTTTTAACTAACTAAATTATTTGACGTTTTTAAAATCTTTATGCCAGAAAAAGACAGAAAGAAAAATTAAATTAAAAAATCTACCTGCAATGGATCCAAATCATAATCTAAAAGGAATAGTCAACATGTATCTAGTCTATATTGTATTGTATTCCGTGACTAACTAACCGTTGGTCTTTTTAAAATACTTAGGTTTCATTTGTCGCGTTCAAATTACCAACGATATTCGAAGCTCATAAAAAACTGTTATTTTTCATTCTCATAAAAAGATAATATACTAAGAACTATATGACCCGGAACACGTTTTATCGTTTGAAAGCATCATAAATATTGTATGACACAGGCTACATCTATAGAACGCATTTTTTTATGTCTTTATTGTAATAATATTCAAGTTTAAAGGAAACTTACTGGAAAGAACATATGATTAAGGACGAAGCTTAAGTCTTAGAGAAAAACCACTCACTACGATGTGTTTTTATCAATCTATTTGCATTGATATTGAATTATCTTGACATGTTTGTAAAAGTTTTACAAACATGTCTCAGCGCTTACAAATATATTTTGATTAAAGTGAATAAAGCACAATTATATTACGCAGCTCTAATTTTAATCATTCAATCTCCAAGATTGTGTCTTTGTTTGTCTTATCAATTTTAATTGTTTACTGCGTCGTATTACTCACAAATTATCAAGTATGCCAAAGTACAAAAACATAACACCTTTGTTTTTTTTTATCAATCGTCGTTAATAAAACAAACGTTGTTTTGCCATATAAATTATTTGTAGGATAGTACACAATTTTTGGTGGAGGCCGCCCTTATCTCTTAACATAAACTTTAATAACTTTAAGATAAAAGTTTAAGATTGCATTAGAGTTAATTTCGATAAGTTCTCTTGACGTAAACTAGTTGTGGTCAATATATAAAAATAAGAAATTGAACCACTAACCACTTAACTCGTAACCATAACAAACAATTTAACCTACTTTCTTTTATCGACACACAATCTCATGGTAGGTCACATGCCTGTCTGTTTCGATCATAGGGCGCACAGCATCGACCTTTTTGTTGTTCACTGCGGTGGAAGAGCGACCATCGCGAGATTCGTCACTGAGATTGATACGACCGCGCTTGAACTTATTGACTTACTAGTTTCTCGCCCGCGGCTTCGCTCGTGTTGAAGCCCTTAAATAAATATCTTTCCCCTTTAAGAACCCGTTATAACCCTTTTTGCAACTAAAAAATAGCCTTTGTCCTTTCTCAGGCTCTAGACTATCTGTGTACCAAATTTCATTTAAATCGGTTCAGTAGTTTTGGCGTGAAAGCGAGACAGACAGACAGAGCTACTTACGCATTTATAATAATTAGTATGGAAGTATGGATTTTCAGATTTTTTTTCGACTTATTTTGAGATCTTCATACATATATTTTACTACGTAATCCTTGTTGTTCCAGTACACATACTTCCTGCTGTTCACATTCATATTGGAGGCGGGCGCTGGAGGCATCGCCTACTACTACGAGGTGGCGGTCGAGTACGAACTGAGAAACGAACTCAACAACACGTTCATCGCGAACTACGCGCTGGACGTGGTTGTGACCGACGCCGTAGACGCCATGCAAGCAGAGGTAACTTGTAACGATGCGAAGAATACTCATAAAAAAGTATAGAAACAGACTATAATTAAGTGGGGCATACCCACTAATGGGCATAGGCGCCCTCTGTACAGAGGCTCTTAGCACTTAGCCTACCACGCTATCCCAATGCGGCTTATACACTGGATAGACTTCACATATGTTCAAATTACGATCTTTTTATTATTAAAAAAGTTTTTGAAGTGAAAACGCATATTTTTAGATGAGATAAAATCTCTCAACTCGCGACACCGTTACGAGACACAGCCATAGTGTGTGCTTAATTGAATTTTTGAATAGAGAATTTGATTTTACTATGTCCAATCTACGCAATTAGCATAACGAGATTAAGTACAATTGTAGTACAATTTGTTACAATTTTTACAATTGTAGTAATAGTACACTTGATGCGGTATTCACGAGATATCTTCGAATCAAAATTGTTTATTTATCTAAAAAAAAATGTCTAACGCGCCAAAATAATTTTTCACTTCTGTGGGCACTCCCGGAGTGCAACTCGTAATTTTTTTCCCAGTTCCGGTGCTGCGGCGCAACGAAATACTCGGATTGGCGGCGCAGCGCTTGGCACGAGCACGACCCTCGGCTGCTGGTGCCAGACTCCTGCTGCAGGACCATCACGTCCCGCTGCGGAATGAGGGACCACCCGTCGAACATCTATTACAACGTGAGCGCGCTCCTCGCTTGTCACCTACCGCTAACCAGGGAAAGAACCTCTAAGGGGAAACGGTTAAAATCATTGCGCCATGTATTCAGTTGTGTAGAAGTCCTTTTACTTCACATGTTTATTTTAATTCGTAATTATTTGTGTGAAATTAATGGCAGGTAATTTTAAATTGGAATTAAGCAACTATTGAATGCGTTTATAGTTAAATTGACCCTATAACTTTCATATTAGCTCTTTAGATAAAGTAAAATAACTCAAAGCAATTAAGTATGTCCCACTGCTGGGCATAGTCCACCACACTACAGCGGATTGACAGAGCGCCGGCACCGGGATTCGACCTCAGGTTGCTTAAGTATAATGAATTAAAAACAAAAAAGCAAGCACCCAGACATTACTTGCTGTTAACTACTGCTATTATTTACCCTTAGGGCCCTTACCCTTTCACAAAATCTATATTATTTTATAACAATTGACATACCCGGCATAAAACTAAAACATCATTACAAACGCGCTAACAGTTTTTTTACCGAACGGATCGAACTCAACGTGAGCACAGTTTTTTGTTTTCGCAATTCGTTATTTCTGAGCCAGACTACTATAAACTATAAAAAACGGGCAAAAAATCAAATTTTCATCCCGTGCGGTAGTGGATTGTTAATGTAATTTTCGAATGTAACTCCCCCACCAGGGCTGCGTGACCCCGTTCACGAGCCACATACGCGAGCAGCTGATCATCCTGGCGGCGGTGGGGGTCGGGATGTCGGTGGTGCCGATATTCGGCTTCCTCTTCTCGTGCGTCCTCTACGCGAAGATAAAGCACGTGGCCGACTGACCCCGGCGCAGGCCGAAGAACTCCACCGGCAAGGTCTTCGACAGGTCCACTGCCACTTCCACGTCCAGGTCCGCGTCGGCGCGAGACCTCGCCAAGGTCCGCAGCGACGCCCCCACGAAGCCCAGACCGCAGCCCCCAACACGCCATAGAGCGAAACGCGCCCCACTACGCGCCCCTTGCCCACTTCACAACAAGAAGTCCCCCAACCCAATATCGACGATCAGCGACAACGTCAGCATTTAGTGTTCGCGTTACATGTGACTTTGTATGACAACGGATCCTTAAATAATGTAAAATACGTATAGTGTTCGTATATGTGACTTTTTACGGCAACTGATCCTTAAATAATGTTAAATTCGTATTCACGTCAAATGGAGTCTTGTTAAAAATTGTTCAAGACTGAAATTCGTCTCGCGAATATGATTAGTTAATGTAATAAAATGTAACACATATTCAAGCCATGCAGGTGAAAGTTTCCAGAAGTTCTTGACAAAAACATACTGTTAAATGAAAAGCTTCGTGTTTGAAAATAGATACATACACATAATAATTGAGTTCAAATTCGAAAATGTTACATTCGTATATACCTCACATGCTATGCTTCTTCTCAAGATTATATTTACAATTTTACCTTCTGTTAGCAGTGCTAATGAAATAGCTTTTCGTTACTTCGTTACGTTACGTTTTGATGTGTCCATAATTTACTTTAAAAAACCCCCTTAATCGTAAACGGCCAGAAGCGCAAATATCATCGCCTGCGATATGCAAGTAACGAGAGGGAGGGAGGGGGTGCGAGTAAATTTCAGAAGTTGAATTTATCTCGAGCTCTATCTTGTTTATTTTATCAAATATCTAGGGGTCTAGACCTCAAAAATACCTCGTTGAAAAGAAAATACCCGTACGGTCGATTATGTTTTTTTAACACTTTTCTTCATAAAAAAACAACAAGGAATGTATTACTGCCATTTATAATATACCGTTTTACGCTTGAAAAAACCTGTGTTCATTATAAATGACTCGACGACCCGAATGGCGTAGCGGATAGTACCTACCTACGACGTCGGAGGGTGTGGGTTCGATCCCCACTACTGGAAAAATATTGTGTGATGAACATAGTGTTTTTCCAGTGTCTGAGTGTTTATATTATAGTATGTATTTATTTACAAAAGGAAAGTATGTTTCAGTATGTTTATCAGTTATCTAATACCCACAGCAAGCGTTGCTTAGTTTGGGGGCTAGAGAAACGTTTTGTAATAATGTCCTAAAAATTTTATTTAAAAAAATATATATAATGTTCTTCACTGATTCTTTTATCGGCGGACCCAGCTAGAGATAGGGACGGACTGATGTGACCTTGTCTCTTAATGCCCTTCCTTCTCGCTCTCCCCCTTGCACACATTGCAACAGACTGAGGTGACTATCCAGACTCGCTGCCCGCGGGGTAATTAAGTGTGGGAGCAGGTCACCACCTGTTACGCTCTCTTTCGCACTTACGCGGCAGCGTTGCGACACACCATTGTGCCTCCCCACGGACAGCGAACATTTAAAATTGCGCAATCGAACTCTAGCAGTAACTTAGAAAGTCTAAATTAATTAGCCACCATATTTTTTTAAATTTAATACGCAATCGAACTCTAGCAGTAACTTAGAAAGTCTAAATTAATTAGCCACCATATTTTTTTAAATTTAATAAACGTAATGATTTTCTATCCTCTGTTTATAATCAGTTATTCATTTGTACACACAAATAAAATCCTTATTTTATAGAATATAACTATTGTATGAAATAAGTCTTTTATTAATTCTGTGTTATATTTTAGAAACAAACATTTGTTCTTAATAATAACATCGTTCATGTCTAGTGCTTAGATATTAATTAGAACCCATGACCGAATTTATATGTAATAAATACTAAAGTTGTTGATATTTGTAAATAATGTACGACTAATAAGATAAGTGAAATAAACCAATTGATGTTTATTCTTTTAGCATCAAATATTGCTATTACAATAAACTTGGCAACGTAGCTAAGTATTCTGACATTTGAACATACTAGAAAATTTATTATAACTATCATTTTGATTAATTGTTAATTAATTTAATTAATAGTCCTCGACAAATCTGGTTATATGCAAACCATTTTTTAGAATTATGATATATAGGCGTCGAACGCCATTGAGATGCGAGAAATCAGTGGTCGCCGACGCCTACATACTTAACAATAACGCCTATGTTTGCCTCTGGCACTCAATGACTTACATAGCGCAGAGTCTTGGGTTCAAACCCCATACGAGATAAGAAATTGTGTGAATTATTTTAACATAATAATTGGTTGGTCAGATCTATATGTACTTGTTTGTAATGGTGCTATACTTAAAAAATATATATGAATAAGATCTGTAAAGTAGTTAGATATATTTGTACAATATTTAAATATTGTTACTGTATTTTTTTATCTCACGTAATTTTTAGTTTGTGTGATAATTACAAAAATGTTTTATCTAATTTATCAAAATCCATTTGCAGCCTCGATAATCATTATTATTTCATTATTGGCTAGGAAAACATGATATATTCATGTTTTCCTTGAGAATAATAAATGCTATACACTACACAATATATCATCACAAAAATCGTATCGTTGAAAAGAACTATTTATCTCAAAAGTAATAATACATGCATAATACATGTTTATGTAAGTTGTTTTTTTTTTATAATTGATACAAGGCAATGAAGCTCTAGTGGAGTCAATACGCATTCTATGGCTCATACAAAGTTTTTCGTTTTTCGGATTTACTATGCACAAAAATAATTATTTCACATAACTTAGAAACGCTGTGAATTTAAGACGATGAATATCTCAACTGTCTACTTTGCTAAGGTTAAGAGGTGAGAGCTTTGTATTTTTAAGCTTTATACTAATACCAAATGCGATTCATATGATTGTTAGTAAGAAAAATGATTTTCTCCAACTGATCAATATGTCTAATAATTAAAAAATTATGAATAATTATAAAATATGTTTTAATTTACCAAATATATACGTTAAATGTAACCAAAGCTAAATTGTGCCTTACTAATGACAAGATAAGAGATTTTTTTAAGAATAAGTTAGCTATTGTCGCTTTTCGTGTGAAACATATTTAATTAACCCTATCACACACCTTATTTTTGTTATGTTACGATGTTTTAACACTCCACATTAAACTAAAGTGTTTTGTTGAATTTGTGATTTGATATGATTATTGTATAGTTTTACAAAGATTATTTAAAGTATACCTTGATGTAATGAATATTGTTCACAAGAAAAAATAAATATTACCATTATCGCAACAATTTTGCTAATTATTTATAACCCTTCATTACTTCTTACATCCTCATATGCACAGAATCGAAAATCACAGAGTTTTTATCATTTTTATTAAATTGAACAACCACTGTTATGTAATATAATAATTTCTAAATAAACAAAAAAATGTAACTCTGTTAATACATGTTTATGTAAGTTGTTTTTTTTTTTATAATTGATACAAGGCAATGAAGCTCTAGTGGAGTCAATACGCATTCTATGGCTCATACAAAGTTTTTCGTTTTTCGGATTTACTATGCACAAAAATAATTATTTCACATAACTTAGAAACGCTGTGAATTTAAGACGATGAATTTCTCAACTGTCTACTTTGCTAAGGTTAAGAGGTCGAATTGAGCTATCGACATTCATGTATTCATCTGTATGTTGTGAATGTGGATAGCTCGATTGGCACTTCACATAAAACAATCTGTTGGCGATTACTATGTCAAGTGAAGGTACAAGACACTTTCAGCTAATACCCAAGTCCCTGGCCCTAGTAAACTTAAAATAAAAACTGATCGACATTCAATGATAGATTATTTGACAATCCTCGTACAAAGCAATGTTCCCCCCGAAGCAAATTTTCCTCCAATTTAACATTCCGCAGCCTATACATATTTTAAAAGTGGTCCAATCTAGAATATGTATAAAGCAAGTATTTAATAATTCTTTATTTTAAAAACAAGAAATAGATTGCCGCAAATGGTTTTTGATAACGTATTATATTATATTTGCTTGAAATGTACCTATGTTTTTTTTGTTCTTGAGTATTTTTGTATATATCGTATCTAAATATTTATACTTAGATTATTACGGCATTACAAATAGACCATACTTATTTTATTACTTTCATCATGTACATAATTGTGTATATTTGCGTCAGTATAAACCCATGGATTTATACTGCCAAGAAATTCTCACATAATATCTTTGAAATATTTTTATATTATTATTTCAAAACAGCACCACCAAGTCCTACAGGCTACAGACCTTACGCAAGAAAGTTCGGATGATTATTTATAAAGTAGGAATTGCTTTCGAAATAAAAAACAACTTTTATACGTTTTGTTGCCAATCTATAAAATAGTGTTATTCGATAAAATAATAAAAAAATGTTCTTAAATAAATAAATTGAAGAACACTATTCAAGTTTCTCAAGTATTCGCGTTTACTAACAAATTTTTAGACATTCTTTATTTGGATAGAAACAGATAGATAAAATTTTGCATAGATATTAAAATGGTCAATCAAGGTTAAATGAAATCTTAATGCATATAGGACACATAGCAATAGCAAGAATTGAATATATTTATAATAGAGTGGTCACGTCTGATTCTCAGACTCTCCTTTGAGTCTTAATCCGAGCTAATTTACAAATGCGTTTGAAATTGAAATAGTCTCTACTCATAAAGGTCCTTTCCGAATGATTCTTTAGAGCCATCCCTATGATAAACGCGTACACACGCAATATTTAGAAATAAGTGCCTAAATCTTTCTTTGTGAGCTTCTAAGATAGAACATAATTGTTATTGAGATGGTACCGCTTTATACATAATTGAGTAGAGGGTAAGGAGATCATGATGATTAGCATCATTCTTTGATAATTCTTTAAAAGAAAAATGAGTAACTAGTACCAAACTCCTGCCTTAAAGTCAGCAACGCAGCTGTAACTCCACCGAAGTTACAAGTGTTCATGGATAGTGGTGATCGTTTACCATCAGGTGGCTTGTTCGTTTGCCTCCTTTTTCCATAAAAAATAAAACTAATTCCCACTATAAAGTATAGCAAAACCAGAACTGACTTGACAAACATTGCTATTTATATCCTGCCCCAACTGGTTTCATATAAAAGAATGTAGTAATAACTCCGTCTCAGTCTATTGGAAACACTCGCTCTAATATAACGCTTATAAATTTAATTAAAATGAAGACTAAGGCCATCATCCTGGTTTTTCTCTACGTGTGCTTCAAAATTGAAGCTAGCCTGCCGGATTTGACTGGAATCCAAAAAGTACATTCGAAGACAAAGGATCTGACAGCGACTGTCATTGTAGAATCGGCTAAACCATTGGACATACCAATCGAAACAAAATCTGAACAGCAAGAGCAGCTTACTGCACAGAGAACTGTGGAATCATCGCCAAACGTCCACAGCCCTTCGAGTGTCAACAATAATTTAAATGTCAACTTGGGCGACGTTAATTTACACAGTATTGGTCGTGCAAACAACAATAACTATGGAACGTTGAAACAAAATCTCTAAAAAACTTGATATCTTAGAACTTGGATAATTCAAGCATTTTAAGGAAGAAAAGGAGGAAAAGGCCGATGCACGAAGAAGCAATTTAAATACATTGCACTTGAAACTAATTGCACTTATGGTACTAAAGTATTCTTACGTGGAAATATTCAAAGGATAACACACCAAGGAGTGTGTTAATTTCTTACAGTAAATTTAACTTACAAAATTAGTTATTAAAAATTCTGAAGTCCAGTCGTTTTTATTGGCATACTTTTTGATTGTTTTTAACTTCAAAATAAATATTTGATTTAAGTTAACTATGTACTTTATTTGCTATTTCAGACCTTCTTTATGAATATCTTTTCTACAATTAGAAGATTACCTAGATGCGAAATGTTAATTACAAATATTTTTAGATACAGTTCATATATTAAAATAAAGTAATAATTAAACATGTAGGTCTACTTTCACTAGAAACACTCAAGCTTATATAATTTTTTTGCTCTTGCTTCTAGTTCTCGTCTCGATTTCCAAGACAAGTAAAAAAGTGGTAACAACTACAATTATTGATAGATTTCAACAGATTGATTCCTTATCTTACAGCTTAGTTATCTTCTTATCTTATTATTTAATTAAAATTTTATGTTTGTAATATTTATTGTTGAAATGAAAATTACTTTTTATCAATATTTTCTATATTAATTAGATATTTTATTTATTTTAATAATTCCCGAATTTCCCCATTCCCCATTTGCAACACCCATAGGCTTGAAGATGCGTTGCCACCTTATAGTAAAGTGGGCCCCAGCTACCTCACTCACCAGACAAAACACAAGTATATAACACTTAAACTGTACGCCAGTCTTTTGTGAGGTCGTGGTGCCGGACTAATCTACCCGTTCAATGCTACATCGAAGACTGTTACGTTAAAATTTATATGCAATTTCTTCATTACCTTGCGAAATATTGTCACACCTTTATCTGGATAAATTCTTGTTCTACCTGTGTAGTAGCCCTAGGTTTTTGCCTTTTTAGGTCCAAGCGCTAAGCCAATATCCGATCTAAAATATGTTCAGTTCCCATTGGGTAACTGAACCGTGGACTCGTGGATCTTATAACTATATTTATAGGTCATTTATTTCGAGGACTCGGTGCCGCCGCCGAAACCAATGGATTGGCAGCTATTATTTATGGCTCGGTGTTAAGATAGGATAATATAGTAACGAGGTACAAACGTAATTAAAAAATTTGTACTAATGTGAAGGGATGCAAATACTTCTAGAATTTTCCTTAAAGTTTTTTGTAAGACGGAGAACGTAGAAAACATGTACCCCGTTTCATCGTTCAAAAGATCTTCATTATCAAATGTGTAAGCAACATTTTCAGCCGACAATTCCATTGGTGCAATCTCATCGGGATTGACTTCATGGATATTTCATCCTATGTTTGTGATAACTACATGAATTATTTGCTACTACAGCAGTCGTTTTTAGAAAAAAATATAGTAGTGCTTTAGGAAATCAGTTATTATGAGTAAACGAAAAAAAACATTACCCGACGTATTCTTGTATGTAACAACTGTGAGTCATTTAGGTACCCAAACAATTGTAATCCTACAACAAAACTTACACAAACGATATGATCATGTTCTAATCCTCGTAAATTAATAAAACAACAAGAAAATGCTGAAACGTTTAATAGATAACCTGCATTGTGTTTAATACATTTGACAATCATACGACTTACGAGTATATTACTCCGATCGCAGCTTATATAATATTACAATTTCAGTCCAAATGCCAATGCGTGGTATTTCGCCAATGATAGATTATAAATAAAAAAAACAACATTTTATTTCCACCGGGCGACCTGTTCGTTGCCATAGTTCGCTTCGCTCACGCGACCGCTACTGGACAGGTTCAGAGATCCTTTGTTGTCGTGCAAATTGATGTTTTGATTGTAGTTCCCGTCGCCCTGTTTGTCGGCAATTTTCTGTGTTGAGTCGGACGAGATCGGCGTCGGTGGTGCTGGACTATCGTTGCCAGCAGCGTCGGGATTGGATAGAGAGTTTCGGCTGGTTCCTAATATCGTTCCGAAAATGCTGTTAAATATTTGTCCCGGAATAGCCACAAGATTTGATAGGTCCGCTTGACACTCCGTGGAGATCGTCGCTAATAACAGCAACGTTATAACTTTAAACATTTTTAATGAGTATTACACACCTAGAAGCTGCTCGTGCAAGGAACTATTTATGTATGCTGATCGACACAGGCAACGATTTCTTAAATTCTACTGTATTTTTATACCAAAGACCGGTACAAATATTCATATTTAACATTCATATTTCCTATTAACATTCTACATGGATTTTTTATAGCCAGATTTATTTGACCATAAAAGCTGATTTAGCAATAATTAAAGAAACGGTGGATTCCTTATTTCTTACAGGAAAACTTTCACACAATTTATATCCATAACATGACGTACTGCAAAATAAATATTTTTCTTAGTATCTTATTATGAAAAACAAATTTCCCCAAAAGAAACATTTTGAATTTAATGCTTATTAATAATAAAACTCAAAAACGATCTCATGAAATCGTCTGAACTCAAAGAGGTCCTCGTTCGAATGTACATACGTTTGTGTACAAATATTTAAATGTTTATATTTACATGTTACATGCGAGATAATTTTTGTAATTAGACAAAATAGTTAAGAGACAGCAATTTATTTATTACTAAAGGGACGTTCTCGTAAAACCGTTACGTAAAATCTACTTAAACAATCGTTAAAAGAAATTAAACATTTCATTATTTCAAGTATAAATAAATTATAAAAAAATATGATATTAAGAAAAAACTTTCCATAAAGTATAATCTGTACGAAAATGGAATAATGAATTAATGGAATGGTTTATAAAAATAAAATAAAATTAATGCCTATTAGCCGCCGAGATTTTGAGTGAAATTCCCATAATTATTATTAGTAGATCTTCCAATGCTGTTAAGGTTAAAATCACCTAAATTATCATTGAGATTGATATTTTGATTGAAATTCCCATCGCCCTGTTGATCGGCAACCTTCTGCTCAGTTCTCTGTCTCTGCATTGCTGCACTATTGTTACCTAAATCAAGTCCTTCCGTTTTATTCACCAAACGTTGCTTAAATGAGACCTCTGTGCCGGCCTGTGTATTCGGCACAGATTTTTTCTCATCCTCTGTAAGACTTTTCACTGAAAACTCAGTTAACACGTACTGAGCCGCCTGTATTATCTTGGTTGGAATTGATGTTAAAATTGTCACATCGCCATTGCACTGAATAATCGTTAACAATAATATTAATATCGTTTGCCTGAACATTATTAATACTATTAACAATCTTCCAATTCCAATGCGCTTGAATCGAGATGTGTCTTTGAACCAACGTATGGTACAACCGTCGTCGTCGTTATATATCGAAACAAGTTCATGCAAAAAACCGGTTCGGATAAAGAAACAAAATTTTAACAGTTCTATGATAGTTCGTTGATCACTTAAATAAGCATCAAACAAATAACAAATCCACCTTAATATTCTACAGCTAACTAGTAGGTAAAAATAAAAAGAATTTAGTTTTATCCATTTTCAGATCTTTTTTTATGCAATATTGCCCATAAACCACACATTATCCTTTGTTATAAAGACTTTTAACATACATAAATTTAATAAAAAGTCAGACCCGAAACAATTATCTGTGGATCACACAAGTAGTTGTCCCGTGTAGGAAACGAACCCACGACCCTCGCTCCGAATCCAATACCTTGGCAAATGCGCCACGTGACAGCTTAATAGCAGGAAATACATTTTAAGTTACTTAATTTGAAAAATAATTTTAAAAAATATCAGCACTAATTGAATTTGAGCTTTATGAAGCCTTAATAGTACGAAACAAATTAAAAATAGAAAAGGTTTAAATAAGTTTCTTGTCCTTTTATTCCCACAAAGGCACCTTAGAAAAATTAATTAAAATTTTTGCGATTTATACCAGCTGGAAATATCGTAAATAACTCTCATACTAGTATACTAGGGAATTAGCTACCAGGAAAATTGTACAGAATGAATTCCAGATATTTCCAAGTGATTGATGATAATTTCCTTTTATAATCATACACCTTTTTACCTTATTGCTCTAGAAAAAAGATAATAAATCTTTCAAAGGGGATTTTAAAATTAAGATTGTCTGTTTTGACAGACTTTGCAAACGTAACAGTGTGATAGCCTGATAGTAGGTAAGTAAATCATCACTGTCGCTGCTTGGTTATAACAATAAGACGGAGCTACAAAAGTGCTGGTGGTACCAGAAACGTTCAGAAGTTAATAATAATATAATAAGTTCTGAAAGTTTCTGATGCACATAGTACATATCAAATCCTGCCAAAACCCCGAACAATATAAGACATTTTTTTTGCCATTTTCTTGTAAAATCTCTGTTGTTCAAAACTGCTAGCTTGGATTGGAAGTAAAAAAAAAGTAGTAAAGTAACAGCCTATACATGTCCCACTGCTAGGCAAAGGCCTCCTCTATACAGAGGGTATCAGGGGGATATCCCAGGGGGGATGCCCCACTGCGGATTTCACATATCTTTGAAATGAACCTGCATAATTTCGAAATAACAAAAAAAATATATTTTTTTGTTATTTCGAAATTATGCAGGTTTCCTCACGATGTTTTCCTTAAACGCGGAGCACGTGATAAGTCAGCACTTAAAGTTAAAAACTTCATTGGTGCCGGCACTGGGGATCGAACTCAGGTTGCTCGAGTATATTGAATTAAAGGCGTGCGCCCGGACACTGAGCTATCACGGCTCTCATCGGAAGTAGCCTCGTGTTAAAGCAAATTTTTATATTAATTTTTCGTCGTATGCTCCCTAACAATTAGTGAATAATAAAACCGCTTGCTCGCTTGCCGTTTTAATAGAAAAATGTAACAAACACAGAGGTTGGAGACCAAATACTAACTAAGACCAACTACTATTAAAATTAAAGTGGGATCACAAAAAACTTTTAAAATGATTTTAATGGTCTTTAATATTTCTTCTTTATTAGAAATTATAAACTTAAACAAAATAAACTAAATGCCTATGTTATAAATCCCGGGAAAATATACATAATTAATTAAAATTTAAAGTTGAAAATTTTGATGACTCCGTGGCGCAGTGGCCAAGGTCTTGGCTTCGGCGTCGGGGTTCGTGGGTTCGATTCCCACAAGGGACAACTATTTGTGAGTTGAGTGAAATTTATATGTGTAAAACGTCTTTACAACACAGGATAATGCTATCCTAAAGTAAGGGCATTGTTTTAAAAAAGAATAAAAAAAAAGTAATTAAAAATAGTCGATAGATGCAGGTGGCTTAGGGTCGTGCTTCGTGGCAATCTGTTCTGTGGGGGAGACCTATGTTCAGGCGTTCAGTTCAGGACTCAAAAAGTCTGAAATGCTGATGATGATGAATTAAAAATATCTTAACCTTTAAAATATCGATACCAGTCGTCAGTTATGTGATACTTTTTGTATTCGGCGTTTTTTATATCAAAGTGATAGCAAATATGCAAGCGGTGTCCAACGAAGGCCATCATATGGAGGGTCCATAGGCGCTTAGAATATCATAACTGAAGATGTTAATATTAATATTATACTAAAGACTGAGGGCCTCTTGTCAACCATTGAGTCTGTTGACCCCCCGTTACCAATTTACCATAGAGAGCTAAAAGCAACTACCAATTAGTCTACCAATTACTTTTTACGTATAAGAGAATATTTTTATCGAGTTCAATATTTAATCAAGTTCAAATTGTTTTTAAATTCTTTAAGAAGAGAGAAGCGTTAAAGTATTAAAATATAATTATATTGAATTCCAAGTTCTGTAACAAAACTGTGAGCATTTAATAATTGCTCTACCTTTCATTGCATTATTCTGAATAAAAAAAATAACACCACATGTAATTTTTAAATAACATCAATAAAACAACAAAACTGCTGTATAGGTTATATATATTATAGGTTATATATATTGTCAAACAGTTAAACATTAAAATCAAGTTAATCTAGAATATTAATGATTTCCCATTACGGTTTATGGGTTAAGTTTCCATAATTTTGCTTGCTTGAAGTGCCCGTACCCTGAAGACTAAAATCGCCATTATTATCGTTGAGGTTTATATTTTGATTATAATTGTTACTACCTTGTTCGTCTGCTATTTTCTGATTAGAACGCATTGGCGCTGGGGGAGGTTTTGTGTTTACCTGTGGGGCTTCTGCTCTAGATCCCGTGAACACATCACCGAAGGCATTAATAATCTTTCCAGGTATTGAAAATATGTCTAATATGTCACCGTTACACTGGATAGTCAATAGTATAAAAACGAAAACGATATCGCTCCTCATTTTCGTTTTGTTTTTAGACGCAAGAGCAAGCAAGACGCGGCCGTCTAAGATAGTAATACTCGTTTGAGTGTAGCGATATTTTTATATAGAACTGGTCACATTAAAAAACAAATATGAACGTTCAACCAGTAATAAATTTATCTATACAGAGTTTTATGGCTTGTTTCATTACTGCAGTGTCAATTGTTATTTCGACGTTTTTGTCCTTGCTGTTTTGTGTTACTGTTATAGAATCAAACAGCTGAAATCATGTAATCGAATCGATATTCTCAAACATTACTCCATGCGACGAAAATGAAAGAATAAAAATATAGCTTATGATATCATATCTATGGGCTTATGATGGACACTGCACTGAAGTTTCATAACCTTAAAAATTATTATATAAGCCGAAGTTATTTTTAAGGGTTGCAAAATTAATATTACAATTATATTACAGAATAATCATACAGATGATACGGAACAGTTAAACATATCATTAAATCATAAGCTAGGTTATACGTTAGTATGAGAGTTCTATTTAGCAAATATTTAAAAAAACCTTTACCAATAATATTTTTTAAATAAAAAAATACATTTAGCAAAACCCATATGAAATGATACAGTATTAGAAAATTTTACAATTTCAGTTTCGACATTGTCCTAAAATACATTATGTTAACTAAAGTATTTAATTTTTTAGTGTTTACTGTGTAAAATTAATAAAATATAAGGTATTATGTAGATATTGAAATCAAGATGGATTTTATTATAATAATATATTAAATACATGAATAAAACACTAAGAGAAACATGTTTCAAGTTTCTTTCTTGAAAATAATTATTTATTCGAAAGAGCACAAAAAAATATTACTAAAACGAGATTCCGACTTTAATTAAATCATGTGAATTGAGGAAAAGCTTTGCGAAGGCCAAACAGTTTAAATAAATATATTACATATTTTACCATTACTCAATTGCTTTAGAACATTTGTATAAAAAAACATAGCAGTATATTAAAAACAAAAAAAAAATCATTCGATTTTTAATCTGACGTCGATATCGCCTTCGATTGGATTCTCATTGAGAAGAATAAATGTCGGTATGGCCTCAACAGGTTTATGTGTCACGTTGTTACGTTCCTCATAATTCTTCGGGTCTTTAAATTCGTCAGAGACGATGGTAGAGATTCTGCAGCATTCGTTTCTTCGACGAGATTTTTTTATCCATTTGAAAATCCGGTAATTATCGCACCGGCTACTTCATTCACTTTTGAATTGATGTTGTTGAAAGTTGTTGTCAAGAAGTTACCGATTGAAGAAAACTGACAGTTACTCCGCGTCACTACAGCGAAAAAAACGAAAAAGGCTAGTTTCCTTTTCATTATATAAAAGCCTAGTACCTGTTTCTATATTTCTTAGCAATTATAGCTATAACGCCAATGTGAAGAGACGCGATCTACTGACGAGTAAGTTATGGAATTATATGGCTAATTTGCACTCAGACGTTTTTCCCGCTAATTTATGACTAAGATTTTTTAAGGCTGCTAACGTATAACTTTTTGTAAAGTATTGTTAATAGACTTAAAAAAAGTCTTGAATTCGATCGAGTGCTTTTACCTTAGGATAGATGTAAAACATAGATTTTCTACTTCCACATTTTATGTACTAGCACTATTTGAAAATTAATAAAATTTTGTTATACTTACATGAATCCCGTAACTGAAATTTTGTTAATTTATGTATCAACCGGCCAATGTTTTTTTTTCATACTCTACCTACAAATTTTTAGACACGATTTATAGAAAAAATTTAATTTAATTAAACAATTAAGCTAAGTTAAAAATTGTTTTATTGTCAGTAGATACCTAAGAAGGAAGGAATTTTTCAATCTTAAAAAACATCACATATAAACGCTTATGTTTCGTACACATATAAACTTAAACAGTATAGAGTAGCAGTTGGCGCTGTACTTTATGTCGAAAGAATTAACTCACTGGAAAAAAAACTTTCATTCTATATCAACATAACATAAATTGTTAATATTGTTGTTGACTCCGTGGCGCAATTGCCATGGTATTGGCTTCGGCGTCGGAGGTCGTGGGTCGTTGGTCCCACACGGGACAACTATTTTTGCGGTCCACAGATAGTTGTTTCGCATCTGGGTGTTTGTCCTCGTGCAATTTATGTTTGTAAAACGTCTTTACAACACAGTATAATGTAATCCTAAAGTGAGGGCAATGTTTTTAACAAAAAAAAGACGAAAAGATGAAAATATGTTAATTATAACTGGGATTTGAAATTTTATGAACATAAATTAATTATAATATTGATTTATTCTGCTATTACAGCGACATCTATTGACACCGACAGTACTTAAGTAAATATTATATTACACTTGTGTTAAAAGTTTCGAAAAGCTTTGCATAGATGACTTCAGTGTCTGTATATCACAAGCTCACTGTTGACTTTGTTCATTTGTTCATGTTTTATTTTTGTTTTGCAGTTTATCTCTTTTTGCAAAGAGCTTTATCGTTTATATTATAAAAATCGTTTTTTTTTTAGAACTTTAGAACTGCAAAGTTAAAGTGATGCTCTTTATAAATGAAAATAATCTTTCACAGGAATTCCATCCTTTATTCAAGTGGGCATAGTAATTCAAAAATATGATAATACATTTGAATCAAATATTTAACCTTCAAACGCAAGTGCTTAATTCGATGTTTTTTTATTATTTTACAGCAAGACGACTCGCTTTAGGAAATATTGGTTTGAATAATTTATGTTCGTTGCTTCTCCACTCCATTTTAACAATTTATAATAAAATACGTAATTAAAATGTTAATATTACAAGCAAGTTATAGGAATGGGCAATCCAATATTCATTATCACAAATATATAAAAATGTCGTGTTTAGAAAAATATGTTCTTGTGTAAATTATAGGATATAAATTTGACAAATGTACTTATATGTATATTAGGAGCTTATATATGTTAGTAGGCGTTTTGTCGTGTTTGTATTAACTAATGTTTTTGCTTTCCGTCCCGAGACTATTAAAGCTTCATCTGACGCAGAACCGGTCGACTAGCCAGAACCCACGGGTTGGGGCCCTCCGCTGACGGTAGGGCCGCGAATAAGGCGGATAAGGCGTTTTGTCGAATTGGGCGAGATACATATTAAAATTTATTTTAAATCGTCCGGAAAATATAAGAAATTATTAAAAGAACATAATCACTGTTATGTGCTAGGGCCATGCCATGAAGCAACCTCTGCTATTGAATGTGCCGGTTTGGAATGGGTAGGTTCGTCCGAAAACGTACCACGGCCTGATAAAAGGCCAACGTGAAGTGAAAGTATTATACTTTCGCGTTTCATCTGGTAAGTAAGGAAACCGAGGCTTACTATTAAATAATTTGGCAAAGAATCTGCAACCCACCAAGTGTTTTTTATGTCCATAAGTGGCAATCGTTTCTCTACACAAGTGAATTGCCTGCTAATTTCCAACTGTTTACACCTATTTACTTTCTTTTTATAATAATATGTTTTTTAATACTTTTTAGTTTCGTTTTTCTATTTGTGTGCTAGCATGACGGTCATATATTAGGCTGAACAAACATTTATTAATTAATACAATGAGATTTTTTTTTATTTCAATAATATTCAGTTTTATATTACAATGAATAAACTATAAACTGTTTGTCACTTGGGTATTTAATGCTAAGAACCTAAAAATGAACAATAGTTAATAAAACTTTAGTCCCATTTTGAGAATAGCGTTTTTTTTCGTTTGTCGGGACAATATAAAAAAAAACTGTAACAAAATTCTCTAGGGGTTAATTATGTAATGTGAATTAATGACAAAGTTTGTAAAAAGCCAAAAGTTTAATACATTAAATATTATTTCATTATTCATTTACATTTTGTGCACTTGATTATAAATTTATGTATGTACGAGTATGTCAATCCAACTTACACAATTAAAATTCGTAATATAACAAATCTTACATCGATATCTTCTTCGACGGCATTTTCTAGGAATAAGTGTCACTCCAACTTATTTCTCCGTCATTTTGTGAGGTATTCCATCATTCTCTGGGTCTCGTTATTCGTCAAAGGCGAGGTTGAGCTAAATGGGAAGTTGGGATCACTTGTGGATTCTGTCACATTGATTTCTACAACGGGATTGTTGAATTCATTCGAAAGTCCTTTAATAATCGCACCTTCCACTTCATTCACTTGTGAATTAATTTGTCTGAAAATATTCATCAAAAAAGTACTGTTAGAAGATACCTGGCCGTTACTCCGCGTCACTATAGCGAACAAAACCAGTAAAGCTACATTGGTTTTCATTTTATGACAGCGTGGTAACCGATTTTAATTCGAATATTTAGTATTATTAAGAAATTTAAGGCTGTTTAACGTCCAGGCCAGTGAGTAGAGGTACGATCAACTAAAGATAAATTTGAAGAATTCTTAATGTTTCTTTGTCTTACTTACACGCAAACGTGTTTCGTGCCGATAATTTACGACCTTCTTTTCTAGGGCAGGTGGAAAAACGAGCAATAACAAAGCAAGTATTATGTTCGCAACAACAGAAAACGATTGCTATCGCTATCCATACATTCCTTTATTATTCGCGCTGAGTAGCTCGTTTATACTCCGGGTGGGAGAGACCAACGCTCACATGCAAAGATAACAAACTGGTTTTTACGTATCGTGGTAATACCATAATCTTACTTTTTAACTGGAAAGGTTTGCTTATTCTTGTTAGCACTCACTCCCCTGGCCTGGGTCTCGATGGTCCGTTGCCTGGACAAGAGCCTTAGCTAAAGAGCAGGCCGCTTCCCTACCACGTACTGTTGGAGCGGGCAGTGCTGGATTGCAGAAGTGTGCGAAAGCGTGTCCGTGGCCAATGACCATACTGATGTGCGCCCTGGATGGAACATCTTTGGGATTTTAGTGGGTGCTTGTCATTGCCAAAACTTTCCCCCGTAAGGGCAGGAGAGTTACTTTTACGTTATATTAATGTTGGAGGCATTTCGTCCATGAAAAAATAGGTGACGCGTTACGAGGCGGTCCTAACCGTCATGTCCTTTATTTTAGCTCAAACCATTTTGTTAATACACCCAAATGAGTTGGGTGACTTAGCTTAGTTAAGGTCTATCAAGCACGTGGAAACTTGGTAAAACGTCCACCACATTAACAAAAAAAGCAGATATTGAAGTATGCGTGGAAGGCGACAATAGGGCAGTTGCAATGCGGATACCATTATGCCTTAATAAAGGCCCCACTTTCCGCCTTTCAGGACTACTATTGGATTTATTACTTCGGGATTACTATTGGATCTACTATCTATTTGTTTGTTGTTGTTGTGTCTGTTTTAAGTATAGGTGAATTGCCGCATGGAATGAGAAGTGTGTCTTCCAGAACAGGAACCTGCTAGTTCTGTTGTTGTTCTGCTAGTTAGAAGGTTGTTCTTCTTATAAATATACCTTCGTGCCTAACCCAACCTAACTTAGTTAAGATAGATTATCTACCTATATATTAACTAGGACAAAATACGTTCAAAAAGTCGTATGAGATGAGAGACAGACAAAAAAATAAAAATATTTCATTTGAATGTATCAACATTTACCTATATAATACCAGACTTATTGTATCACCTACCTCATGTTGTGACAAAATTTAGCACGAGCGATAATTCCAATAAACATTTATCGCAGACAAATAACAAGGTGTGTTCTAAAAACATCTTGACTCATTAAAGAACTTTCAGCACTATTTTTAGTTACGTACTCAATTTACCTTCTATTATTTTTGGAAATGTGGTATATTGCGGACGATCCTATTACTCAAATGTCCCATTATAAAATAATTATAGATAATAATTTGACATACCTACAGCTTCTTGATTGGTTTTCTTATTAGTGTATTGATTGCTAAGATGGCTGTCATTTGAGTTAAGTTATATTCTTACAACAGTCGATGAGCCTCTTTCAAAGGCTTGTGAAGCAAATATGAGGGCAAGAGTGTTTTTATTTGTGTCTGTATTCTATGCATCATTGGTACCTATATACAGTGTGAGTTACCCCTTTGTGAGGTACCAAAATATACCGGTTGGAAACAAATGGAAGCCCAGGGTAGTGTTTGTTAAAAATTGCGCAACGAGCCTACCATTAAAACAGAGTGGTCTGCAATCAAGACTTTATCGGATTCCATCGAACACGTATCTCTGTCCGCAACCATACGGAAACCTTCGTCATGGTGTCATCGTGCAACCAAAACAAACTGGTCAAATACTCAAAGTTTATACAGGGCACCAAAGGCCAATAGGTCAAACAAATGGTTTCGCGCGACCTCTAATACGTTATGACGAGCTACAAAATCCTGTTTTTGGTGGCGGTAAAAAAATAACGATCAACAAAGAAGACGCAAACACAGTGCAACCAAGCGTTGAGGAAAACCACAGCAAAGATTTCTACGACATAGACATTCGCAGCAGTGTGAATTAATTGGCTTTTATTATTAATACATGCCAGTCTTTTGGATTTTCTCTTTTTAAATATTTTAAATTAAACATTGTTGGTACACTTTCCACGAATAGATTTACTAAAATAATTGGTTTATATGGGAATTCCACGGTTGGCGAAATTTTACATTCCGATCTTAATAATATACAAGCGGACATTTCAATGAAGTAAAACTTTTTTCAAATAAAATCGTGAATGATGAATCAAGCAGCCAAACAGGTTTTGCCATAAACTACAGCGCAAACCTAAGAATAATCTGAGTCAGTTGCTTGTCGTGATTCAACACGGCGTATAGTGATTCAGTTGTGTAATTTAATCCACATTATCTTGAAATAAATATAGTGCTCAAATAAATAACGGAATATGAACTTTATTAATGAATTTTTACTGCTGCTAACAGCAACGCTACAATGCGAAGGGAGCTTGTCACTCCTCGGTGGAATATTATCAACAGCTCATGAACATATACATTCCCGAGTTCACGATGTGGCTGGAGCTGTGCTTGGCACTATAAACAAGGGACTTAACTTGAATTTGGAAGGACACTTAGGAGTCAACCAACAGAGACAACCGGGCTATGACTACGAAACAACTCACGGGCAAGACGTAATATCTAATAATCCGTACTACAACAACTACGGTTCTCACGTGAACGAGTATAGACCCAATACAAACGGCGGAGTTCAACAACCTATAAATAACAATCAACGGCCATATGTTCCGAACAGCAACGGATATAACAGACCTGCACAAAATAGTTACAACAACTTTAATGAACAATACGAAAACCAATATTCTGGATATCCCAACAACAAATACGAACACAATCAACAAAATCCTAACAATAACAATTTTGGCTACAACCAGCCACGTCCCGATAATCAAAATTATGGGGCTGGAAACAATTACCCAAACAATCAAAATCAAGGCTACCCTTACAAACAAAACCAAGGCAATCCTAACAATCCAAATTACTCAAATAACAATGATTATCATAACCAGAATGATTACAATAAGCCAAATTCTGGTAATCCCATTTACAACGGACAAGGCCAAAAATATCCAAAACCGATATCTACACCTGCAGCAAGGCCAGAATATTCTGAAACTACTACCCTATCTAACGGAGATGACACTAATGAGGATGAAGATGACAAATCTACGGAAAATACCACTGAAGACTTGCCACTTTTTATACCTCTGGGCCCTAATGATTACGTATATGGCGGAGACAAAATAAACGTTACAGCTCCCAAAAGGCAAACAAACAACAAACCACAAACTGCGCAGGAAGAAGATTTCCCTATTGACATAAGATTCAAGGACGAATAATGTACGAATATATAATAACTACTAAACATACATTCGCCAGCAATTAATAATTACACCACAATGTATTTACTTGTATTCGTCCATTTAATTAATATGTGTAGTTATTCAATGCAGACCAATTAACTTATTATATGTATTTCGAATGACTATTACATAATTATACGCAGTTATAAAAATTTGAAGGCTAATTTATATTAAAGTAAATGATTTTCTTCCTGAAATAGGTTAAAACATGCTTATAATACGCAGAACAATACCTTTATATTACATTCTGGGATCAGTTTATTTTTTTAATAATTCATACTTTTACCAAAAATAGTACTTACATAATTTATATCGTTATAAACGATCTAAGTATCTATCTTCTTTGTTAAGTTTAAAGACATTTTCAATTATTGCTAAAGCTAATAATTAAAAAGTATTTGAACTTAGATAAAATAAATTACATCATATTTATCTTTGGCAACGTTGACCGTCAGCAAAAAATTACCTACATAAAAATTATTTCTCAATATGTTGGTTTATAATTAACCGTTGTAATCTTAATAATAGATTTAATTTGTATTTTGTAGTCTCTTCTTGCTATGCAAAATTGCTTCATATTCCACTTCATAAATTCCTTCTTACCTTGATAACTTGGTAGCACAGTTGATAAGCTATTCGCATCAGCACCGGGGGTGGTCAGTTCGATTCCCAAACGGGACAAGAATTTGTCCGAATGAATTTCGACTGAATTTTGTTCCGGGTCTGGGTGTTTACTCCCAAGGAGTGTTTAAGTCTGGCACGCGGCCGTTTCCCAAAAAAACCTAGCAAATACTACTAACAAAATGATTCACATGGTGTACCGACCCAACCGAGGTGATCAGGGCAGTAATAGGATAATGAAATTCTTCCTTAATTCAAGGCATTCTTATTTTGATTTATTTACGATTTAATTTAAAATACAGTCATCAAAATATACTCAAAAGACACTCAGAAGACGAGCCGGTTGTTTAATATTTGTAGTATTTTTAGTCCGATGAGTGTATTCGAGGCCCACATTCAGAGGTTGACAACATTTTGCATAATGGCGTTATGTCTATGGAGAGCAGTTCACACTTACCATAAATTAATATTCTTTCTATAGATAGTTTGGTAACTGGAGATAGAATTTTGAGGTAAGTATTATGGAGCCAATGTTAAATATCTATTTTTAAGCTTACCTGTTATAACTATCGTAATTTACCAAATCTATCTGTAGTTTAATTACTGAAACTAGCCATAAGTCGGCATTCCTTGGCAAAATAATACAAAAATATAAAAAATATGTTAAATATATTTAAAAAATGCCACTAAAATTATACGCATCCAAGACTAAACTTTCGTGTAAATTAAAATTATATATTACCATTTGCTCAATAATATTTAGAAAAAACCCCCTTCTTTGGTTCCTTGGCGTCAGGACGTGAAACAATATAAGCACGGAGGCACTTCCTGGTATTGTAATCTTGAAACCATCATTAATGACAATATCGTTTCCATCTTGACCTTAAGTGCAAAAAGCGTAAAGCGAAGTCACAGTCGCTAAGTAGCAAACCTTTATTACGCGCCGAGCTCTTTACTGTATAAGACATTTTAAAATTCTTATTCATTGTTCAACCACGTTCATTACAATATTGTACATTTCCAATGCGTGAACAGCTCTGAGGACATATTAAGGAAAACTGACGGTCATGATTGGATGTATCATCTCGTGTTTGTTAACTTTTGAGCTCATATGCATTCGTGAGTTCGCCGCGTCGCGAGCCTCGGGGAGGAGTGAGACGATTACAAGTGAAACCAACTATAGCATACCAAACAGCAACTTGGCAGAGCGGACGTCAGTATCGGATCTCGTTGGACCGACGGAAAAGGCATTCAAATCGCAAGACGCGACACTCACGGACCGAAACCAATCGTCACGGTCCCCGTACAACCAATCTCCGCAAACTTCAAGTGGTGACCAAGACCGGAAGTCGCCAAGGCTTTATTTGTCCCGCGCAATCATCGCCACCATGAGTCAGCATTCGCAAGTCAAGAACAATAAACGCTTGAATGTAACAAACTCAACCCATAACTACGTGGATGTCGAGACAGTTACTTTCAAGGATGAGAAACCGCAAAAAAGAGTGGGAACAAATCCCGTTACGCTGTTGAACGATAAGCCCGTAAGCTTCCAAGGTAATACAACTGAGCAGAATAACACAGAAATTTGTAATACATCTCAATATAATAACACAAAGGACTCCGCTAACAACACTCCTATCAACGTAAGTCTGGAAGATCGTTCCTCGTTCGTAGGTGATGGATGTGCGTCAGGTTACGCAAAGGTTAACGGCAAGTGCGTTCCCATCAAGCAGTAATAATGTTTATGCTTAATAATTATGCTGTCAATATAATTAAGAATGATCAAGCTAATTAAGAATGCTATTTTATCCCTTTCTCATGTTCCTAGAATATTGGTCCGTTGACAATGGTCAATTTTTTTATATTAAAATGTCATGCCGTTTTATAATTTGAAAACTCTGAACAGTTTATCATAGTGCGTTTAAGTAAATATTATTTTTTTTGTTAAATTAACTTTTTAATGTTTGACCGTAGAGAACATCAAAATGCCGGTAGCCGGTAGCCCTTAAATTAAAATTCCATAATCCAGTTTCCATTTATGTAAATCCGTGAAAAGCACCTAATTTTATTACCTGATTTTATTTAATAAGTAATAATAAAGAAAACCTATGAAAAATTGTAACTTAAGCCTTTTTTTTAACAAATTATTTTTTTTCCCTACTATGTCGTTTTTAAAAAAAATTAAACATATTTTTTGCGTGATAAGCATGAGTGAATGATGACATACTTGAAAGCAAAAACATCTGAACTACCAGAAATAATTCTATTTTTTCACTTATTTTCTGAATCGTACAAACTACAAATAAAAGATTTGATTATATTTTTATCACTACGTTTTATTAATTATTGCTTATGTAAATTATAAATTGTTATATATATATATAAAAAACATTATATATATAAAAAACATATTTGTCGCTTTTAATATTATTTAAAACATTAAAAAAATTGTATACATTCAGTAAAATTGTTACAACGTAACTTCACATTTATGCAGCTGTGCCAAAAAAGGATGTTGATTCTAACGAATGAATGATTAATAAATAAATCAATGTACTTCATTGTCCTGCCCACAGAAAAAAATGCTTTTTTGAGACTACAATGGGCGACCTTATTACCTACCCGACTGCAGTGACTAAGGTGGTAGGCCCACGCAGCAGCCTCGGCTGTTGCACAAATAGGCAGGCTCATCCGGGTAAGTACCACGACCTTACAGAAGACCGGTGTAAAGTGGAAGTTATACTTTCGCGTTTCGTCTGGTGAGCGAGGTGGCCGGAGCCCAATTGTGGTGGCGGTATTCACTTAACATCAGGTGAACAGTCTGCTCGCTTGTCAGCTTTTCACATAAAAAAAATGGTATATGGATGTATATCTGACAAGAACTAAAATATATTTAAAAATACCACAAATGTACATCTGTTTCTTATTATTATTAATTAATATATTGTTTATTGCAATTATCTTTAAAAAATTGATTATAAAGGGCGAACTTAATGCCTTTTGGCATTCTCTCCCAGTCATCGCGGGGCGTGCTGAGAAATCGTGGCAGGTGCATTTATTACATTAAATTATTAATTAATGTTATCATAAAATATTTATCTATTTACACAGTATTACAAATATGTGCCTGTCCTAGGTTGAAATATTGGTATCGTGGGTTTACTTTTTACTAATTTTAAAGTATAACGTTTATTTTTAGTGTGGGTGAATAAAATAAATTCCAAACTTGTTAAATTTTGTATTAATCGAAGGTTTTTTAGGAACTTCAACCTACATTTTCCGAATTTGATATAAGACTAAATCTAAAAATTGTAAATGTCCCCATGAAAAAAGGTTCGGTTTCCTAGATTCCTGGTTTTGGTTGCGGACCGCATTACCACACACTGTACGAAGAATACAATCATCATCATTAATTTGAATAAAGTAAGTAAAAATATCAGCCTAATGCCTATAAATGTACTGTTGGGCAAAGGCCTCCTCTGTACAGAGGGTATCAGGGCATAGTCTACTGCGGATTGGCGGAATTCACATATTTTCGAAATATTTTTTAATTATTTCGAAAATATAAAGGTTTCCTCACGATGTTTTCCTTCATCGCCGAGCACGTGACAAGACAGCACTTAAAATTACCAATTTCATTGGTGCTGGCACCAATTAAAGGCGAGCGCCTGCACACTAAGCTATCACGGCTCTATATATAATTTGAATAAGCAAAACTCAAAATGTTTATTAATATGTCTGAATAATTAAAACCAGCAGTATAAATAAAATTATCTGGTTGAGGGCCTCCTGTTGTAGCCAAGAATCGGGGATCTATTAGTTCAGTGTAAACAAGCAGATTTCTACGTAGGTTCTGGGAAAATGCTAGTGCCAACTTAAAAGAAATTCGTAGTAGCTATTTAATGTATTGATTAAACAGGTGGTCGGCAATGAGAAAAAACATAGAGGAGAATAATGCATAAAAACACTTAAATGTCTTATTTTGAGTAATGTATTTCATAATTATTACATATACAGAATGATTTTACAGTAAGACATACACTATAGCGTATACATGAAAACATCTTTTTATTACAATAATTATAATTATTAAATTAATTTAATTTCCAATTAGAATCCACTAATGCGTCTTGAATGCGAATGTGCCTTGGGTTTATACCAGTTCTGAATGAAATAAGCTCAGCGTTGCATCAATTCCTGGAAATATTTATGTCCGGTATCTTTAAATACACGCACACGTTCGCTCAGCATAGCGAGAGAGGGCACGACCTTTCAATATACAATAAATAACGGTTAAAGAACGTAGGTCTACGGTATACCAAAACGTCTATTATATATTTTTTTTAATAAATTTCAAGGATAGAATTTGATAGAGCCATTGAATGATTTCGCAATGGATATACGGGTTTCACTTAACACAAAACGAGGAGAAGAAACATAATATAAAGTTGTTTTAGACATACGCACATAATTATATCCAAAAGGAATTGACAGGGTCTGTATTTGTAACAGGCTGCTTTAAGCGGCAATAGTCGGAGATCTTACAAAAAGATGCTGCGTTATGACAGCAATATTTACCTGATAGAAACCAACAAACTTCGTGCACTTTTTAAAGGTTCAAAAACTAGAAAATGCTTCTGCTTCAACAACAAGTACACACGATTTTTTTCCCATGGTAATGATGCAAAGCAAATTACCTGGAAAATCTACAACGAATAATTTGATAAATGACGAGAAAGAAGCAGGTACTAAGTGTGAAGTTTATTATTCAGGTAATTAAATAAATTTCTAGTCATCGATGTAAATTAGCTTTGCGTGGAATCTATTTTTTGGGGATAAACAAAAAGGGAATAAGTATTTCAAAATTTATTATTGAATACACGTGCAACCAGAGTACTTTGTAATATAAGAAAGAGAATGTTGTGCACTCTGCACGTGCATGAAAGATTCGAAAGTTGAGGATCTCATAGTCAACCATACATACTATAAAATGCAACTTATCTTTCACCCCATTCATATTCAATATCAAGTACTTCAAGCGCTACAATATTATATACTTAGTGAAACATTATGGCTTCGAATTTGAAAGGATTTTTTTTTTGATGAAAGATGGGACGAGAAATGAAAATATTGCAATAACTATACGTTATGAGATGGTGTTTAGAATCGTTGCTGACAATTTCTTTTAGTACTCAAAATCTTGATGCAACGCCTTTTACCGAATTAAAGATATATCGACATAAAGTCAATGCTGTGATATCGCAAATAATAACGAGTGGGAAATTTTTGTGAGTGCGACCAGAAAATGATTTGGCCCGAAAAGTTCCTTGCGTAGTCTGCTGTAACCATCTTGCATTCAATAGTCATCAGATTATTCACTTATTTTTTGAATGCTGTACTCGCACTGTACTTCCCCGACAGAGCCTGTCCTTTGTGCAAAAGCAGAAGCTGCTGCGTGGCCCTAACACAGTGGATCTTCTATATATTCTGCCTTCAACGGTAGTCTTTGTTCATGCAGTTATTAAATAGTATCACTGATCCAAAAATTCGATGTTGAATTAGTAGTAAATTTAAAAATTGCAATAATTATTGACTCAAACCAGCACTTTAGGAGTTGGGTAGGTATCGCCAGTGTCCGAAATTACATATTTGAAATATACGGGTTCATAAGTAGAATGAAAGGAATTATTCGCATAAAAACGGTATTAAACGGTTCGCATTAAACGGTTCGCATAATATTCGTGTATTGTAATCTTAGACCACACCGTACAATTAAAAAAATAAATAACACAAAATACATATCATTGTTAGGTACAATAGAACCTCTAAAATGAACATTTAAATAGAAACTTACAGTTTCTCGGTGCTACTTTTAAGCTTGTAATATTATACATATTTTGCATACTCAGAAATTATTCTATGGAAACCTATGATATTTTAAAGGAGATTCTGACCGTTAGCTTGGTCTTAAAAGAAATAAAAGTAAATCAGATGCGGCCCCTAAATTACGATAGGCGATAAAAAGTAAATATGAAAATTGGGAGCATGAAATTATTTTTATAGAAAATAAATTACTCTTTTATAAAAACATGACTTTCATTGTAAAAATAAATCGTATTTTCTGATTTGTAAATTGTGGACAAGTATATAATAGGAAACTAACAAAAGATTGTTCCTATTATTTAAAAAGAAAACCTCAGCCTGAGATAATCATGTTGAAATTAGTGTTAATACTTTTTGTGGTATTTTATACCTGTGAAGCTGACGTTTACGGGCAAGTAAATTTTCTGGACATTCCAAATCGTGCATCCAATATAAAACCGCTGATTTTTCGACGATCGAGCGAATTGGATACCTCCAATTTATCCGATAACCTAGAACAGGAGAAAGTTTCATACAATTAAATAATAAATCCTTGTCAGCCTGATATTAGAATTGGGTATTAAAGTTTTCGCTTAAAAATCTGTTGTGAAACATGTTTATGCATAATCAGGGTGTGAGACGACGCCTCTATCAAGAAATAATTTTACACATGATTTCAAAAAAATAATAAAATTGTGGTCAATATATTTGGACTTTCATTACGTTAAACCTTTTGATAAGATTGCTTTATTATGGAATACCAATGTTTTCTTAATTTTCCACACAATTACTTTTAAATGTAAAGGTAAATAAGGAACCATTTCCAGGTAAATACGATCCATATCAATAAACCTATTAAAATCCAAAAACATTTTTTATGTTACAATTATTTAGTTACTAATGCCAGGAGAATAACATATGTATGTCACCAGATGAAAAAGGTTTCGATTTTCGCTATGCGAAGTCACACGGCCCCGTCGGATTTCGTCGTCCGAATGCATGTGGTATGGAGCTGATTGCTCTTTATTCTTATTAAATTTAGACAAACGGATGTACGATTAGTTATAGAATGGCCTTGTTTAAAGTGTATCGCTACACTCTTTACAAGGTTAATCTTAAGTCCATCTTCCATTTCGAAAACTGATATTTACAATTATGGATAAGTTACTTTTATGTAGCGTCCGAAGTTAATTCTAAGGTTATTTTTATTTGGGCAATATCAAGATATTTACGGCAATTAGTACAAACACATTTGAGAATAAATAAAACAATAGACTATCAATAAAAACGCGATTGTTTTGTAAAATAGTACTGAGTTCAAACAAATATTGCAGAAAAAAACAGAACCTTTACGTTGCGTTAATCATTACATCTGTCTCTATGTATGCTTAGATCTTTAAAACTACGCAACGGATCTTGATGCGGTTTTTTAAATAGATAGAGTGATGCACGAGGAAGGTTTATATATATAGTAAATTGCACCCGTGCGACGCCGAGGTGGGTAGCTAGTTTTTAATATAGGCCTTTACTATTAATAATTCTACGTACCTACTTGCTTTAGCGATAAGACAATTCCCTTTTTTTTTCTAGAAGGTAGTAAGACATCTGCAACACTACGGGTGTTGCAAATGACCACGGCGACGGTTATCACTTAACATCGGGTTAACCGCCAGCTCGTTTGCCACCTTCTGACAAAAAAAAGACGGCGCATAAATATCACGGATCACCGAATCGGGCTCATTACAACTCGAGCTCTATACGCGACCCGTCTTTACGTTTTGACTTGAATTTTTACGTTTTAATACATTTATTCTTTACTCGCGTGATACTATTATAAGTAATGAAAAATTACATACACATTTTTAGACATAATTAAAATGCTATTTCTGTTTATATTTTATATTTAAATGTTTAACTGTGGTAGGGCCACGCAGCAGCCTCGGCTGTTGCACGAATGGACAGGCCCCTCCGGGTAAGTACCACGACCTCACAGAAGACCAGCGTAAAGTGGAAGTATGACAAATACTTTCGCGTTTCGTCTGGTGAGTGAGGTAGCCAGAGCCCAATTTTCAAAAGGTTGCGAACGCATCTGTAACCCTCAGGTGTGGCAGATGTCCATGGGCGGCGGTATTCACTTAACATCAGGTGAACCGTCTACTCGTTTGACAATTTTTCACATAAAATAAAATAAATAAATAGTTTAACTAATATATTATACATAGAATAAATACTAGTTATATCATAAAAGTCTTCAATATTATTCGCTATTATTTTAAAAAGGCCAACAAAATAACCCACTTGCATTGATTTCACACTGTGTAGACCGAGCTATATACAGGCGTAATCGAATAGCGCGAAGCATTGTTTCTTTCCCACTCAGACTCGTTCATTAAGCATCTCGCTAGCGCGCTTACGTGATTCAACGTGGAGTCGTTAGTAGTAGCGAATTAGCGAATTGCCACTGTAGCACGAGCCCTCCATAGATAAGATATACAGCGTGTCTTTACAATGGCGACAATAAATTAACACACATATAGAGGATAACTTTTTAAAATTGTATTAAAGATTTACATTCTATAAACATCAATATTTACCGAGTTATCAAACTTTCCAAAACAAAGAATTTTAGAACACCCTTAACTATAAAAGCGTAACGTAAAGTTCATTTGTAAAGGTCACAAAGCATATGAATGGGTTGAAGGAATTTAAAAGAGACAAAACATACTGTTAGAAGGAGAGGCTTGTAATGCGACGCTGTGGCGCGAAATGTATAGGTGTTACAAATTTTGTCTCTTTTTTACTTAATTAGTTTGTTTGAAAAATATTTTGTTTTAATTATGGATTTTTTTAACGTTAATATTTTTTTATGGTTATTGGCAAGTAGCGTTAGACGTGTGTTCATTTATTGTCGCGATGGTAACGACACGCTGTATATACTGAAAGTCCTCCGAGCCCGAGATCACTCGAACTCGAACCGACTCAGCGCGACTTAAAAGAAAGTCAGTTTGAGTCGAAGACTTAACCGTAAGACAATAATTGGTTTCTCCTTCTAACGTAACATTTTAATGGCTGTATTTTACCTATATTGTAGGTAAAATTGTTCGGCGCAGCAGTGACGTTAAGACGTTTGACAAAGAGAATGTAATCACTACGTTTGACGACGTTGATAGTCATTGTTGCAGTCAACGTCAGATGAAGCTTTAATAGTCTCGGGACTGAAAGCAAAAACATCAGGTAATACAAGAAGTCATTGCAGTGAAAAAAGAATGGACGTGTAGAGTCAAACGTGTAAATAGCCAACTCGACTTGACTCGCCAACGCCAACTCGATTTTCAATTCTCACACGTCACGTCACTCGATTAAAAATATTACTCAAGGCGCATCACTAGCAACGAACAACAACCCTACTCTGGACTAGACTGTAGGGATACCAACTTAGGAATTTTCTTCCTAAACTTAGGGAAGAGAACATGTAAAATCTTTTGGGAATATTTTTAGGAGTTAAATTTTATTCAAATTTCTGCAAAAAAAACGATACAAATATATTTATTTTAAACAAAAAATATAATTTATAGTGCTGTATTGCTTTGGTGGACGTCAGACCAATACCTATGTGACTTGTATGTCTATTTTGAATGATTGCGCCCTAAACTATAATATTTAATGTATTATGAATGCTTACTCAAAATATAAAAATATTGTAGCTCAGATTGCGTATCCATTAATTAAACAATATAAAATGATAAAGGATGTTAAAATTGTCGTCAGATATGTTTAGAAGAAAACTCATTATTTTATGTATTCTAATGATTAATATGTTAATTTTCTTTTTAATATCGTATTATTTTTATTGTAGGGGTAGTAGAGTTTTCAAATTGGTCGCATATTGGGCTTTTTTAAGGGTCCAATAAAATTAAGGAGCCATTTTTAAAGCCATGCAATAATATTTCATTCAAAATATCTATTAATTAATAAAATGTTCATTAATATTGTGTTTATTTGTTATTTATTTCAACAATTTATAATGAAAGGTAATTAAAACTAAGTTATGGTTTATATACAAAACGTAAAACTCATTTAAACAATATCTTTCGAAAATTGCATTTAGCCTTATTTAGGGCTATTTCATCTAGATTTTAGGGCCATTTTTTTTAGTAGTTGCCAACACTACGTTTGTCTTTGGGATGGCAAGTAAAAACAATTATCGATGTTTATCGTATCGCCATTTTTAAAAACTATCGATTATATATATTTTTTATTTTTTTAATTATTTATATTTCCAAACCATTCAAAATTCGTAAAAAAGAATAAACAAGTAGAAAAAAGTAATATTTATTTAATAATCGACTCAATCAAATGCAATTTAATCGAACCAATAATCATCTGATACGGACATTAAGAGTTCACTAAGAGTTGATCGTTGGGTACTGTCAAATTCACAGCTGAAGCAACTCTTTTTGAAGACACCGATGAAGCCTGGCAAATTAGGTAATTTGCCAGGCTTCGTCTTCGCCTATAAGTATCTACTTATAGGCGACTTTTGAATTTATTTTTAAGATGTTTTATTTTTGTAAATTTATTAATTTGTAATTGCTTAAAATTGTGAAATATTAATCAGTCAGACCGCAGACGATTTGGACTCATTGAACGTCACAGTGTTAAATGAAATCATGAAGACATAAGGATGACGCTAAATAGTTGAAGAATTTAATTAGTTCATCAACTTCTCATGATACTGAAGTTAGCCGACGTCTAATAATATTTGAAAATTTTTCCAAGGATAATTCATAAAAGAAAATAGTATATAGAAATTGTACTAATAGTTTTCATATTACTATATGTGCAATTTTGATTTGTTGAAAGAAAGATCCGAAAATTGTTAACTTCAGGGTCATACACGTCTCACACTGATTGGTTTAATAGTAAATGTAATTAGTATTTTCATGGTATTGGCTTAAAGGTCTTGAAATCAGGCTATATAATATTTGATAAAAAATAAATATTATCGTGAACGTGCACCAAACCAAAGTTGCGTAAAAAATATATCGAAATATATACGAAAAAAAAATATATCGAGTCGAAAATAAATATCGAATATCGATATATCGGGAATAAAAATATCGACGATATTAATTTGGAAAAATATCGATATTTTTATATATCGATATATTTTGCCCATGCCTAGCTTTGTCTTCTATATAGTTTTGATTTGGAAGCCGGCTTCTGGCCTGGTCTTCTTTTCTTGTATTTTGTAGTATTTTTATTTTGTGTGGATTTTAGATTATTAAAGTGTGAAAATTTTTTAAACATATAATATCGTTGAAAAATAAAAACAGCATAGAATAAAGACAGCTAAAAAACCAAAAGTCCTTGGATACATTGTACCACGTGTACGCAGAGTTACTTTTAAGCATTAATAGTTAATATAAGTATACTTATCTATAAATCAGATCTAAAAAAATAGTGTCCCTTTAAATTGAAAGAATATAACATATTGACTTCTTCAATACACGTGGTAGAAGTTAACACTAACATGTCGTCCGCGGAAGGAGATTTACGCGATGGCCTGTCCGCCACGGAAATTTTTGCTAATAGTGAAGGACTCACATACAACGACTTTCTTCTCTTACCTGGATATATTAATTTCACAGCTGAAGAAGTAGATTTGACTTCTCCACTCACTAAAAAGATTCAGCTGAAAGCACCGTTGGTTTCCACTCCCATGGACACCGTTACCGAAGCCGATATGGCAATAGCTATGGCTCTATGCGGAGGTATCGGAATTATACACCACAATTGCACTCCAGATTATCAAGCGAATGAAGTCCACAAAGTTAAGAAATACAAACACGGTTTTATTCGCGACCCAGTTTGCATGGGTCCAGAAAATACTGTTGCCGATGTAATAGAAGCGAAAAAGAAGAACGGATTTACTGGATATCCCATTACTGAAAACGGCAAGTTAGGCGGAAGACTTATTGGGATTGTAACATCTAGGGACATTGATTTTAGGGAGGGTGATCCTCAATTAAGTTTAAAAGAAGTAATGACCCCTATTGATGAAATGATTACAGCCCAGTCTGGAGTTACTCTTCAAGATGCAAATTACATACTAGAGAAAAGCAAGAAAGGTAAACTTCCTATTATTAATGGGTCGGGGGAACTTGTAGCGTTAATAGCTAGGACTGATTTGAAAAAAGCCCGTAGCTATCCAAATGCCTCTAAAGACTCTAATAAGCAGTTACTTGTTGGTGCTGCCATTGGTACCCGTGAATCAGATAGGGAGCGTTTAAAATTGCTCGTCCAAAATGGAGTCGATGTTATTGTCTTAGACTCTTCCCAGGGCAACTCAATTTATCAGATAGAAATGATTAAATACATCAAAGCAAACTATCCGGCAATAGAAGTAATTGGGGGTAATGTTGTGACTAGGATGCAAGCCAAGAATCTCATTGAGGCAGGTGTGGATGCACTGAGAGTTGGTATGGGAAGTGGTTCAATCTGCATAACACAAGAAGTCATGGCATGTGGTTGTCCACAAGCAACAGCTGTGTATCAAGTTGCTTCATATGCTCGCCAATTTAATGTTCCTGTAATAGCCGATGGAGGTATTCAATCTGTGGGCCATATTGTTAAGTCACTTGCATTAGGAGCCTCAACAGTAATGATGGGTTCACTTCTTGCGGGCACTTCCGAAGCTCCAGGAGAGTATTTCTTTTCTGATGGTGTAAGGCTGAAAAAGTATCGTGGAATGGGCAGCTTAGAAGCCATGGAAAACAAAGAGGGGAAAGGTTCTGCCATGAGCAGATATTTCCATAAGGAATCTGATAAACATAGGGTGGCACAAGGTGTAAGTGGAAGTATTGTGGATAAAGGGTCTGTATTAAGATTTCTTCCATACTTACAAACTGGAATGCAACACAGCTGTCAAGATCTAGGTGCACCATCTCTTTCTACTCTTCGTGAGATGAGTTACTCTGGGGACTTACGCTTCATGAAGCGGACATACTCAGCACAGTTGGAAGGCAATGTTCATGGTCTATTTTCATATGAAAAAAGATTATTTTAATAATGTTTAAAATATAAAGAGTCCATTTGTCCAATTGTGATAGCCATTTGTAATTCTCTGTATATGTGATATGAATATCTGTATATAGGACAATATAGATGATTTAAGGGTAAACAAAAATATTCTATTATACCATGATACACCTTGCTTTTGTGTTGTACAAATACTTGATGTTATATTTTATAATGGACCAGGATGTAAGATATCCATCGTAGAATAAATTAACAAAATTGAAAATATATTTTGTCTTTTATTTATTTCTACTGCCTAAGAAAAAATCATATTTCTCTCACATTTTTACTTATATTTATTAATGCAATTTATTAATATAATATATGAATTAAATCCAATCAACAACTTACATTTTTATTTATTTAAGTTGCATACTAAAAACATGGTAAAATAATATATTTTTAGTAATATATTTACTTATTCATAACACAGTTTACTATATGTTGTGTTAATTTTAATATTTTTATTTATTGTGTACATGTTATATCACCTATACCACCATAGGGCTTCTTAAAGCAGTGGCCTATTGGATAAGACTCAGATATAAGCTGTTATGTTAATAAGATCAAGGGGCTTATAGGAAATGAAACAAGATTTGTATTTTCTAATAATCACAATTTAATGGAATTACATATGCACAAGCTGCAGAGCCATGGTTATGCACATTTTATAATAAATATTATTTAAAGGTGCTAAATGACTTAAATTATAAAAAAAATAAATGTGCTATACTATCTATGCCTTGACTGGTGCGTCTAAAAAATTACACTTATCGCCATAATACTTCTGAGCTAGGGTATTTCTAAAAAAATCTATGAAGATTGCACAAATTATCACTATGAGTGTCTACAATTTAAATAGAATAATTTCATAAATGCGAATATAAGCGGCCAGAGAGCATAGCGTAGAATAAAAAATACCTATAATAACATCAGTCCTCTATACCATTTGGCATACATACTATCCTCCAACTGCAGTCTACTTTCCAGAAGAAGTAATATATAAAATACTAGAGTACAATACATTGGCTTCCAGATAATGCTACAAGTACATCTTGCTGATAAATATCAAGATAACCTAGCTGTTTAATCCATCCCGCTGAAATCTTGGAGGAAAAAAGTTGAGCCTGAAAATGTTACTAGTTTGCTATGATTATTATAGAACTGCTACAAACATTCGGTGATTAGTCGCAACGTTTTGAACGTTTTGACTTGAAACTTCGAAATCCCTATTGAACATTATACTAACGGAATAGATAATGGGCACCATTAAATCTAATATACCAAAACGCACCAGCCGGAATGCATACGTCAAGCGACCAAAGCGTATAAATCTTATTTGAGATTACACCTTACATGTATTCAACACATTTCAGCGTGTTACTTATGCCTTAGTACCCGTTATGCACAATCATGCCTTACCGATATTTGAGCATGTAAACGCTTCGTTAATAGGGATTAGGCATTTGCTGGATCTGAAGTTGCATACTCTATACGGGAATTATCGTATTATTTGCATAATATGTAAAAAAAGTTACATAACATACAGCAATTTAACACGCTGTGATGTGCTGATAGTATGTTATTGCTATATCGCTATCGGAAATTACTCCTTAGGCGCGTCGCCATCGGCCTCATCTTCTTGTTCGCGCTCGAATTCGGGACCGTGGGTCACGTCGTCTTCGAAAACGATTTCCTCGGGATCAGGGGCGCGCGGTAGGAACTCTTCGCCAGGGCAGATCTTCTTGAAGATCTGTTCAGCCTGCGCAGTGACAACAACAATAATAATTAAAGGTATAAAAACAATTAACAAGAACTATTTAACGAATTTTTAAATATATTCGTGTATTATTTGCTATTAAATTCCCGACACCCATAATACCACAGAATCCATAGTCTAAGGCAGACTGAGATGTTAACATACCTAAAGTCATTTTTATCTCAGGCCATCGTCACCTATTTCATAATTTATTCTGGTTGATCTTATAAAGATTACTATAAATGTGATGTAGATGAAGTCTACGTATGCAATTGGCCATAGCTAGACCCAAATACAAAATAACTACTTTGAGTTGCAACAGTACACCAAGACAGTTTTTTAAAGATAAATTTTGTAGAAAGTTTCACCGATGCGGGAATCGAACACACGGAATTCACCACTCGAGACATTAACAACTAAACGCCTGATTGCCACCCGACGAAATCTCAACTTCTTTTATCTACTTACATATTTTTTTTCGCATTTTAAACATGTTAATGTTTGTTTTTAAAGGTTGATAATATGTACCGACCTTATACAGTTATCATTAATCTTGGTAGTTATGTCATTTGTAATCTTAAATATAATGTAAATACGACAACATTGTAAGAAATTTACACAAAACGACATTGAATACGCAAGCCCTATAAAAACAGCGCAAATTAAAAACGACGAAACTGTCTACAAATATCTTATATTTAGATGTACATGTAAAATAAAGATATGTACTAGAAACCCAACTATGGCCCGTGACTGTTGATTCACGATTCAAGACGAATTTGACCTCATAATTCATATTGGACATGTTTGACCTTTCTATACATTGTATCAGCATAATTATTATATTAATGTCGTGTAGTGTTTAGTAACTAGAACGATTTCTTCTTGCATTAAATACTACGTTTTGGCGCGTTAGGGAAAAATTATGAGAGTAAATTTTTACGATGCGCGAGCACACCGTCACGAAAAACCGACACCCTGAAGTTAGCTAAACATCTAAGTATGTTTGCGTGAAAACTGACAACTGTATTCACGATATTTATTTTGTGATATTTAAATAAACTTTATTTAACTAGATAATGCGTTATAAAAAAACATTTCAATGTATTAAATACCTTTTTTCTTGTGTCGTTTTTTCTACAAACGTAGAAGAAGATGAAAGATACAATTTTTGAAACGATTTTTCGCCAAAGAAGTATAACTTCTAACGCGTGTACATAAGTACACACAAACTTTATTTATTTATTACCTTTTGTTCATTTAATAATAGTAACTTTGAGAAATAATAACACTGATATCTATATATTATGTATATAAAATTCTCGTGTCACAATATTGGTTGCCATACACCGCAGGTAGGTCATACCCCTAAGTGATAAGAGTAGTCCATCCCAAACTTTTTTCAACCCTATAAATGAATTACTTATATATATATATATATATATATATATATATATATATATATATATATATATATATATGGCAAAACAACAAGAAAGAAAGTTTTCGTCAATTTATATTTTTTTTTAATTTCTGTGCACATAGTCGTCGTGATTGATATTTACGTAATATAATATCCCTTCACGTCTGTTCTTAACTACTCAAAAGTTTAAAAGATTAATTAAATTAGTCGAAAATATGTGCGATGTTACAAGATTCTGAAAGGTCAATACGTAAGTTTATCATATTATAACTAGTTACGATTATAATCATGTTTCGATTGAAAGTTTTGAGCAATATCGTTAGTAATTAATAATGACTTTAATAATTGGACTAAATGTTGAATAAAATTAGTTTGAACGACTTATGCTAAAGTCGCCATGATACCGAAACACCACATTTACCTAACCTTTAACAGAATGTCTTCTTTGGGTAGGAAACCCTGTTGTACTTATCTAATAACATTACAGAAGCCGTAACACTAGAAACACTAGAATTGATTAATATGACCTATCCCACTTACTTTAGGAGTAAGTTGGATAGGTCTTCCACACTCTTGGAGATTATGGTTATGAACTAGCAGTAACCATCCAAATACTCGATTTATTCAGTTATTTTCTACATATGCATAGTTCTCGCCACAAGTCGAAGCGGAGTAGGGGAGGGAGAAGTCGAGATGAGGTGACTTTGTCTTCGCTACGTCACTATTACTTATTTATTTAAAAACTTTTTGCCCAATAGCGTACAATGGCGGACTTAACACCATTCGGTGTTCTCTACCAGTCAACCGACAAATAAATAGAGACAACAAGGAGATACGTAAGAGCCACTATCGCCTTCAACTTCAACTAACTTGTTACTAATTTGTAACAATTTGTAGTTGTAACTAATTTGTTAACAATGCTAGATGCGGTTCTAGGGGAAAGTTCGTGATACATGTCGCCCTTCCTTGAATTCCTAAGTAGATATAGTTTTCTGAAGTTTTGTTTCTTACTAATCATAATGAAACTTTTATCACGAACGTCATGAACAAATTAGAAGAGATGAAAATGAAAGTCATCAATTTTCATCGCAGAAAATTCAATCTTATCATTTACTTGTAATAAGTACACAATTGTCTTCGAAGAACATAAATTATTGTCCCTCTCTAAAGTACAGGAAACCATTTTCCTGAGACTAGCTCGCTTCATCTCGTCTACAGGAAGTATGTACTATGCAGTGCAAAAATAAGGTAGGGTATCTCAATGAAAATAAGTGCCCATAAAATGAAATAAGCTAAGATGCGGTTCCTTTATCATATATTCTGAATTTCAAGTGAAGCGCCAAAACATAGAACAAGACAGAAATATGTATCTAGAGGAAGATTTAATACCCGCTCCTGTAAAGGCTTACAATTTTTGAATAAAAACAAATTAACGTCTACAGAAATATGAAAATTTTTCAAGATAATATTGGTCTGGCATTAAACTTTATTGCGTTTATTTTCTTATTTTACTTAAAGGTCGCTCATTCATATTGTACTAACTTCCTACACCATAATTTCGTCTCCTACCGTTAACTTTAGCTATGTTGAACTACATTAGCGCCATTCTAGTCTTATGAAACCCATATTATGTACATTTTTGTGGACGCTTCAACACTAAGATACTAATTAGTGATGCAAAAGAACTGAGATAACGGAAGATGAAAAGAAATTGGAACCACTATGAATAAAATACTATTTTGTATTTTAGTAATATTTAAATTACTCCCCAAACAACGCGCAGAACTAAGCAAGCGAACTGGCTGGATTTTAAGTGATAACCGCCACCGTTGGACATTTGCAACACCCGTGGGATTGCAGGTACGTTGCCAAAATGTAACACTTCCACCTCACACGGGTCTTCTGTAAGGTCGTGGTACTTACCCGGACGGACCAGCCCAGTCGTGCAACAGCCGAAGCTGTTGCATGCATGGCCTTACTACAGTTGGGGGCGGTGAACATTTACCATCGGGCTGCGGGTTTGCATACTTTTCCAAAAAAAAAATGAACAAACAGGCCAAGTGCAACTCGGACTCACGCACGAAGGATTCCGTACCACTATCTATAAAAACGGCATAAAGACCATGTCTGTTGTATGGGAGTCACGATCTAATTATTTTTTATTGTTTTTTTCAACATTTGTTGTTACAGCGGCAGAAGAAATACACCATCTGTGAAAATTTCAACTGTCCAACTATCGCGGTTCACGATACACAGCCTGGTGACAGACGGACAGACAGCGGAGTCTCAGTAATGCGGTCCCGTTTTACCCTTTGGGTACGGACCCCAAAGAGCGGGGGAGGGCTCACCTGCTCGACGGCGCGGTCGAAGTCGAGCCCCGCGTCCGGGCCGGAGCACACGTGCACGCAGGCCGAGGCGCTCTCCGCCGCCGCGCTGGTATCCTTCACGTTGTAGAACAGCGACCACAGACACTGCGAGATGAGACGACAGCTTGTTATTTATTGAAGTTACTATGCACTTGAAGTTACTGTAGAGCCGTGATAGCTCAGTGTTCGGGCCTGTGTACTTGAAGTTACTATGTACTTGAAGTTACGTGCCGTGAGCCGAGCCAACTTCTATTAATCTTATCCTTTAAGCGAGCAATTCTTGTATGTATATATATATATATATATATATATATATATATATATATACAGCGTATCGTTACCATCGCGACAATAAATGTTTTAGGAATAATAAATATTTTAGGACACATTTTTACACAACATTTTCTAGTACCAAACTAAGCAACGCTTGTACGATGGATACTAGAAAACTGATAAACACACAATATTTTTCCAGTAGTGGGGATCGAACCCACACCCTCTGGCGCAGGAGGCAGGTACACTAACCACTACGCCATTCAGGTCGTCAATTTCGTACATACATGATGTTCTCAAGTATATATAGCAACGGGAGCGTTAAGATGTTTATTTATTTAAAAATATGGGACTCACGTGGACCCATATACAGCCCGTATCACATGCTTTAGCAATACAAATATCGTGTCTAAATCGAATGCGGAACCCCAAATTACCCCCATACGACGACATAATACTGTAGAAATAAGCATAATAAACTAATTTAGCTGTTGCCTCGTTTGTTAGTTGCCTGATTTTGCGTATGGCAAAAACTTCAGCGCTCAACTTCTTAGCTAATTTATCTATATGAGCTCCCCATTGCAACTTGGAGTCAATGCATATTCCAAGGAATGCTGTTGAATCCTCAAGAGGTAAAATGCTGTCATCAATAAAGATTCCTGGTTTGTTAGACAGCTTTGATAAAGTAAATCTGATACATTATATAATAAAGGTAAATTATTGGTCGCAAACCACCCCTACACACATTACATTTATTCACAGACATTAATTCACAGATACCTTACACATATGAATATCAAATTGTATGCCTAATGTAGAATTTGATATTTGGTACAGCAAATTTCTGGGCGATTTTTGATGAGAAATTGCTATCTCAACAATTATTTTTTTTCATTTCGAAGTCTAGACTCTTTGTTACTTTATAAAAATAAATCAACGGACCTTAGGTTTCTCGGAATCCTCGGTTTGGTCGCCGCCGGACATGTCGAAGATTTTCTCAGCGTAAGGCTTCAAGTCGCTCTCGGCGTCGGCGACTTTGTTCGTAATGAAGTACACCACAACTGAAACAGGAAACTATCATTATAACAACTTGGCAATGATATCTCTCGTCTCCTCGTGATAGAAAGGACTGTAGTGCAATATTGAATGTACTGTGTCTTGGTGAAATTATTGAAAAGACCAACGGATGCATCATCACTTACCATGAGATAAGAAAGTTAAAGTCTGGCACTGGCCATTTCACGACGGTAAAAAAGAATAAAAAAAGTGATTCCAAACAAAATTTACGGACAGTTATAAGAACAATGGAAACGCAGGTTAATAGCAAAGTAAGACTTGGCTATTTTTTTAAATGACAGTACCAAAGTTTGTATTTATTTCACATATAATACTTTAATATTACCACTATCCAATTGTTGTTTGTTTTACTTTAGCTGGTTTAAAAGCAATAAGAATTATAGGAAAATATGAACATATTCTCTCAGTCAATCTACTGCTATTAATGGGTGCAAGCTACCGTGGTATGTTTATACAAAACTAAAGAAATAAATAATAAAAATAAATCAAACAGTTTCTTTACAACCTTAAAAGAATTAAGTGACCCATGCAACAATTCGATAAAACTTTGACTCATAACTTTTCAACGCTCAAAACCGAGGCAATTGTAAAAAACAAACTGTAAAAGCCATTTACTTGACGAATTCGCAAAAAGTAACAACGGCACAAGTAAACCAAAAAGTTGCGATCAATTCCATTACTAATCGTACAAAAAACACACTACACGTCCAAGAACTAAACGAAACTTGAAGAATATAATGACTGGTCTTAACGTACCTCATAGATATAAAAATATAAAAAAGAAGTGTAGGAAAATACCTAAATAAACTTTTACGTTACGTCTTGTGTGAGGTTGTCTGTTGAGGTAGCCCGTTTTTTTAATAGAAAGACCCCCACAGGCATTGTATGTGTCGATGTAGCGAACACTTAACATCAGTTGTACTGGCTACTCGCTTGCCACCTCTAATCACATAAAAAAAACTAGATAGTACAAAGCACCAAAATTCTTGAAAAAAAAAAGAAACGCATCAAATTAAGATAAATAAGAAAATGAAAAGAAGAAGAATCAAGTTATTCCTAAAATATTTATTATTCTTAAAACAAAGGAATTTAATATTAATTCAGTATTGAAGTGTGGTTTTACTGTGGTAGAGCGACGCAACAGTTTTATCTGTTGCACGAATGGTCAGGTCCGTTCACAAAAGACCGGTGTGAAGTGGAAGTGTAACACTTCTGCGTTTCGACTGGTGAATGAGGTAACCACTTTATTAAAAGGTGTAAACGCATTTACCCTACGAGTGTTACAAGTCTCCATTATCGGCGGTTATCACTTAACATCAGGTGAACCGCCAGCTCGCTTATCACCTTCTCATACAAAAAAATAGAACGAAAAACCCGCAGAAACCCAGTTTAATTATTTAATACATCAAAGTGTGGTGTAAAAATACAAAATTTTCCGGAATTTGTAAATTAAATTTAGCATATTTTTGAATTGATAAAAATAAAGCTTCTGCTACTGTTATGCAAAGTTTCAAGGCGACCGTCAAACTAGAAGTGGGTCAGCATTAGCTTAATAGGGTTTAATACTAGATACGAGGTGGAGAACATTTTTTTTCGTTTTAAATCGCATATCATGCATTCTGATTCATCAGTTATTATAGCTCGCGGAGACACCTTAGTAGTTTAATACATAAACATAGGCAAAATTATGAGCGCAACTATTTTTTTTTTTTTCAAATCATAATATGTGGGTTACATACATTTTTTGTTAAAGAAAGACATTTGAGGGGCGGTCACTGTGCGCTTATAAAGTAGCTATTATAACAATTTGTTGTATTGGCGTAAATGCAAGAAAGCCTTAATATTTGTAAATATTTCTACATATAAGGACATACTTATTATACATGTACATTTATTTAATATTTATTTTTGATGTTTTATACAAGGCTTTCAACGTGTAAATATTCCGTAAACGTTTTGTTGGCGCACTTTTCTATTATTATTTTTTTTTTGTAAGCGTCAACAGCTTGATCCAAAGAGGTCCGCAGACAGACGTCACGCGGTATCAGGAGAACAACGTAGCTGGTTGAATAAAACTATTTTTACGGATTTTTTGCATCTGTTTTTATTTCAATTCCCATTGCTTCGTAAACTTTTTCTATAGTTAACTAGCTATTGGATGTAGTGCGAAGAATCTTGGTTTTGGTATTAAAATATGCATACGAGGCACGCACGCATTGTAGAAAAATTAAATTGTTTTTTATATATAGACACAAATTACTGAGTAATGAAATATGCATAATATTTTTCGATCTTACCGACCTAATAATAAGAAAATATGAAGTGGTGTTTTTCACAAAAGAAACAACTTTAAAAAAAGGGAAAAAAAATAACTAAATCATCTGGATCAACAAAATTAAAAATAAAGAGAGCAATGATCTGGAATCGAAAAAATAGTAAAAAAAAGAGTATGTAAATGATCGTGACACGAACCACGGCCGTCTGTTTTGGGGCCGCCCGATTACCGACCGAGCTACTTTTTTTCTTTTATATATTTTTTTTGCGGCGAAATTTACCGTCAAATTCGAATGATATTTTTCATTCCCTGAAAACAGGGATAAAAGGACATTTTCTAAAAATGAAACCTAGGTAGACCGATTTTTCGCCCACGAATCTACGCACATACAAAATTTCATGAAAATCGCTGGAGCCGTTTCCGATTATATATATATATATATATATACAAGAATTGCTCGTTTAAAGGATAAGATACTATATCGAAGTCGAACATGACACAAACGCAAACGAAAGCTGTCTTGACTACCCACGGCGATGGTTTCAGTGGAGGAAGAAGGTTATTACGCCAAATTGGCAGATTAAGTTGCATAGATGGCTCAAAAATGTCTCGACTCACCGACATAAATGATTGTCACTATGACGTAACCCGCTAAACATAATAGCACAAGATGAATAAAACCTCGCTACAAGCCAATGGGCACACGCAAGTAGGTAATCCTATTTAACCGTCCGGAATACGCACACATTAGATCTTTTATCTATGGCATTATGAATTAGTCTACTATCATGTTAGCAGCAGCAAACAGTACAAACACAGTCCGTAACTAATTGGCTCGTTGAACGGTTTTTGGGATGTTCAAGCGCAATTTTGAAACTGCCTGGCACTATTTGGATGTCACTTTTATCAAGTAAAAAACATTTGTAGCCAATTTTATGGGAGGGGGGGAGTATATCTCACAATTGGTCGCATTCAAAACCGTCCCGTCGGTACACGAGCGATCAATACACACTTATATAGTACTCGGCGACAACTATTACACGTCGAACTTTTGAAAGAGACTATCGGCTAATTTCAATATATTCGAGCGTTATTTCTATCGCAGAAAGCACTTACAGGGAGACAGGCATGACTGTACTTATGGTGGCTCAATTCGACACTAACGCGAGTGTCAGTAAGCGTCTTTCGCACAACGTCCTCATCGACCTGGTCTAGGAAGGGGACCAAAGTATTTCGGACCCACCGTCGGGGGTCCCGCCAGATACACTACACCCACAGTTAGTGCAACAGCAAACACCATAGTTCGTCCTCGCCTTCGAGCACGGCAAAACCAACACAACGCGTACACTAGGTACACCCGCGTTTCAGGGCGGTTCTTACCGCCCCCAGCCACCGACTAACCAAGTACAGTCAAACGGCTATCGGGGGCACTTAACCTCGATAGCCCGTAGGAGACACTCCTTAGCTAATGTATGCATGAGCACATGCGCGGCCCTACCCACTGAGAAGGGCCTCAAGCCCGTGGGTTCTAGCTAGTCCACCGGTTATGCGTTCGATGAAGCTTTAATAGTCTCGGGACTGAAGCGTTGACATCAGTTAATACAATTCTTATGGTGGAGTGGTTTTAGTGATCACCCAGGCAATTAATTGGTCGCGATGTTGTGGGTTCAATTCGTACACGCGAAAATTGTGTGTGCTTCTACTGTGTGCCCACGATCGCAAATGTGAAAATTGTCGCAACATGGGGATTACTATACTACAGAATTATACTAGCTAGTGCTAGGTGCGCTTCGTTTCACCTAGAAAATCTCACGTGTAAACGTACATCGATTCGGTTCAAAAATGAAAATCACTGCCACCAGCGCCACCTATCCGGCACTAACGAAACTATGTTCGTCGGAGTGGCCATGTCGCCATTTATGTACGCGCTAAGTTTCATATAAATTGGGCAAACGGTTCTCTCGTTTTAGGTGAACATAGCGAACACATACATTATCTTTTATATACATTATATTTTATAGACCAGCTGATCCGGCAAACGTTGTTTTGCCATATAAATTATTTGTAGGATAGAAAAAAAATAAAATAAATAAAAACTAATTGTTATAAATATTACCATTGTTCATTTATTGTCGCGATTGTAAAGACACGCTGTATATTAGATATACAATATACAAAGGGATGTACGTACATAGTCCTTTGGGACAGGAGCCGGTCGCCGGGCCGACCTCCAGCACTGTGACCGCCCCGCCGCCCTCGATGAGGGGGGGGAAGCGCAGAAGCGTCAGGGGCTCTTTCTCGCTCTGCATTATGGTGCCGTTGGTGATGAACACCGCCTTGGAGATGTCGCTGGTGGCCACCGGCTCCGGCGACACCAGGTCCTGTCCGACAAAATTGTCACATACCCGCTAAAGTTACACGTCATTTCCGAATGCGAAACCAACGTTGCTATTACACGTATTTGTACGGCGAAGCAGTTCACAGCGCGTAGCAGAGTAGGGCTAGTAGCTAGAGCCGTCGCCTGCCAATTAGAGGTCACGGGTTCGTAGCCGAGTGACATGCAAGAAACAGTCTTCGGACGGCAGGACGGCAGGTCTACCACCACACATATTCTGTAAAATAGCTGGGCAAATGGTGAAAAGACATGAAGCTTTCGCTTTTATTTCATCGCACAAACCTTTGGGCACTCATTGATTCCGATGACCAGGTGGTCACAATTGAGGGTCTTGGACTTGCTACCGATCACCACCACAGTCTTGCCCTCTTCCACGGTCTTGGTCTCGACCGAATCTATCGGTCGGTTCAAGCAATACACCCCGCCAAACACCGCGCACAGCCTACAAACACAGACGAATAACCATCACGAATATATTATTTTAAGCAAACAAATAGAAAAGAAACTTTTCTTTATGTGCAAAAGATGGCAAGCTTATGTGGTAGGCCCACGCAACAGTGTACACTGTTGCACGAATGGGCAGGTCGGTCCGGGTAAGTACCACGCCCTCACAAAAGACCGGCGTAAAGTAGAAGTGTTATACTTCTGCGTTTTGTCTGCCGAGTGAGGTAGCCGGGACCCACTTTATTTAAAGGTGGCAAAGCATTTGCAATCATACGGGGGTTCCAAATGTCCATGGGCGGCGGTTATCACTTAACATCAGGTGAACCGCCATCTCGTTTGACACTTTCTCACATTAAAAAAAGCGAGCAAGCGTTGCCATCATTTAATAAAGTGAACCCCGGCTACACAAATCAGACGAATCACAGAAGTATAACACTGACACTTCACTCCTGTCTTTTGTAAGGTCATGGTATTTCCCTAGATAGACCTGCCCATTAGCGATACCAGCAAAGACTATTGCGTCATTGCACAGTTTCCTACACCATCTCTGTGTAGATGTGTAATGTTCTGGACGAGAGTGCGTTTATTAATAATATACAATAATTTATAAAATACAGACACTTAAGAATTATTTGTCACTTAAGAACAATTTGAAATAGTTTTATTAAAATTGGCGATTTAAAAACCTAAATTCAAAGAATACTACAAAATTTATTTTGAACTCCTGACGACATTGCGGATGTATACTTTGCAGCATTCTTCGTCGCGAGATTGTTCGATGTACTAATTTTACTGTTGATTCGTATGACTCCGATTTATTCTTGATTATTTATTTTGATCCGATCAACGTAGATTCGCAGAGAGGCGTTCCCATTCACCTTCTCAATTGTTCTTTATTTTAATAAAACAAAACTGAACGTGCCGATATCCGTGAAATCTACCTATTTAGCAATACAATAAAATACAAAAAATGAAAAGGATAGTGTAATTTTAATGTAACTATAAATAATTGACTGCACTCATACATTAAATTTCATTATAATCTGGTAATTAATTTAACACTATCTTATATAGCTTATTCACAATCTAGATTCCGTCCGTCCGCTGCTGTAGAGAATAAGCGGCTCAACAAAAGTTTAGCTCTACAATTGGTTATTTTTAACCTTCGTCTCCCGATAAAAGTCAACAGCGGCCATTGTAATAAGACGCCTCTGCATCTACCATGCTATAGCTATGCACAGATATATTTTTGACTTTGTGTAGGTATGCAGAAATACTGCATAGAATATTCCTTACTTATAGTAGGTAGTCTCTTGTCGGTAAATATTTCATTTTATGTTACTAACGCGTAAACTAAAATAGTCTAGAATGTAACCGCTTATATAAAAATGTAGAAAATAGCTCAGAAATGCGTGACTACACGCTGCATTAAGACGTCAAGAATGATTTAAGGCAGTAAAAACTTGCATAACTAACGTTATTGTAAATAATGTTGTAAAAAGTTGGCAACATTCCGTTATTGAATTAAACCGATTTTTACATTATATTGTAGCGAGTTAATTTTATGTCTAATTTTAAGTCTCTGTGCTCTATGGCTTATTTCAGTAAGACATAAACCGCCTAGTAATTTATGTCGTTGCCCAAAAACACTTGTTTATACACATGTGTGTAACGCGAAAAAGATCAAAGGGGTTAAAAGATAGTTTCGAACGATGTATAAAGATATCATGTGCGGATAAAATCCGCAGTATTCATTACATTTCCATTGTTCAAAAACGCCGTTGGGGTTCCACTGGTATAACCGAATGCATAGACAATTTTTTTTAATTTACAAAATCGCAACGCGCGTGGCGTGCGAATAGAAAGTCTTATTTTTGTGTGCGCCGGTGGAGTGTTGCACATTTGGGTCATTGAACCTCAGTCGGCAGACACTGCGGAACATTCATGGCGAATTATTTTGCACGGGCCACGTTTTAAGGCAACTATAATGTTCTTAAATTGTCATAAAGTCCATTCCTAAACACTGATTTTTTTTTCATATTATTATTTTACAATGAATACGTTAGTCTTTTATCATCATCACGGATGTACAATTTGGAAATTATTTACGGAATCTTGTCTTGCTAAACAATCACGATCAATTGAGTTTTATACATACAAGGCACTTTCGGGCGTTCTAATCGCAATTAACGTTACATTATTACATTTCGAGGAGAGTCGTAAATGTGACGCTCCAGTTAATCCTAATTTTAGTGCGCAAATTTTACGACGCCCATTCCAATACCTTACTTAAACAACTTCTGGGGATAAATAACAAAATATTCAGTCACTTTACTGTTACATATTATTATATAAAACACATTTCGGTATGCGTTAAAACGTTGTAATTCATATACACCTTGCAATTGGTAACTAAATAAATTGTCAAACACAACTTCAAACGCCGGTATTGGTAAAGCTTATGTATAAAATAAAAATGCTGCATAAATTAAGCAATGGACTGTTTTATTAAAAATTTAATATTTACAACACGCCGACTAGTCTAATGGTCGAAAAAGAAGGAAATGTTGCCAACATAGAAAAAAGGCTTACTGAAATTAATACCACTTAATAAATAATTCTTGTTTAAAAATATTTTTAACAGCTTATAGGCCATCCATAATCACCGCTTACTATCGCTGTAGATAAAGGAACCAAACCAATTTTGGGCTTTTGTGAACAAAATGATGGAACTAAGACTTTTTTCGGTACCGATTTCAAACGAACTAGTTTGATTCCGCGCACTCACCTGCAGAAGCATTGCGGCAGTTCGCCGCTTCCGTACATAGGCCAGAGGAAGGGCGTGTTCCCGTAACGGCCGAGGCTCATGAGGAACTTCTTGCACTCCTTGACTCCCTCCAGGCACGGCATGCCCTCAGTGCCGCCGGCGATGGCGAACAGCACGTAATGGATCAAGTTCGCGGAGAGACCCTTGTGCTCCAAGTACTCCTTGAAGGTTTTGTCGTTCCAATCTAGAACAATCGCGAGTGGCTAGCGTTATGCGCGTCGTCTCCGATACAATGAAACAAGGTTGAATTGCAATTTTCAACCGAGTTAAAAAAGGAGGATATCAGCAATTTTTTATGTTTATTACAACAGTACTCTGTCATATATGAACCGATTTTAAAAATTCTTTTAGCATTAGTTTCGGTTTCACTTCCATGTGGTGCCATATTAATATCATTGGTATTGAACCTTGGCCTTCCAGGTGAACATCATGGAACTCTTGAGAGAGATATTTGGTATCGGTTTTGTTTTTTGTTAATTGTCACTACTTTCAACCGAATATAGCGAAAGCAATCGACCATCGAATCCATTTATCTAGACGAAACATCTGGGGTCTGAAATGCTTGAGTCAATGTTTTCTCCATATACAACTGAGTTAACAAAATGCCTATAAAGTTTCAATACAATACAACCGCGTAGTTGACTTTAAAATAAAAACAATAAGCGAAATATAGCACCCTGTAAATAACGAAATAATAATGTTATTAACATTGAAAGTCAAGACACAATGTTTAAGAAAACGTGAAACTTAGAAAATAATATAATGCCATAACGAATAAAATCGAGATAAGTTGTGAAGAATGCATTTGAAAACATTTAAGGGCACAAAATACTTCGCTATCAGTAAAAGAAAAACACTCAAATTAAATCGTTGCGATAAATTTGAGAACATGAAATCTTTAAAATTAATCAGCAGATTCCCGGTTCTACGCCAATGACAGATCGAAAGAAATTTAAGCAAGTGACGGGCCTAAAGAGGCGATCAGTCCTACGTAAGCCGAAAATAGAACCTATGCATGTATGGTTAGGGAGGGCACTTCGAGCTTTTGAGTAGCTTTTGAGATCCGAGAGCGATACGGAGGAAACAAATACGCGAAAACAATAAGAGGAGCAAAAATAAGTCGGTGAACTTTTGCTGCTTGGCTTCTAAATAATCCAGGCTTCAACCTTAAAAACTCCATTTTTATAAAGGTTATTATTATTGGTAATTTCTTTTTAAATGTTATCAGCACAAAAACATTGCATTTCATGAACAAGACCACAATATAAGTATGAAATTTTAAAACATTTAAGCTTGAATAAAATACTTCCCTAGGAGGATATTATCGTACTTTCCTTCCTATGCCGGTCGGAGAAAAAAGAACCCTTTCAAAGCGCTTGTTTAATATCGCAGCAGCGCAGTTCAGGTTTCATGCACACAATGAATGAAAAATATTTCTTTTTCGATTTTGTAATACTTTTTTACTCATGTGGCTTTCATAGTGCATTGGAGATGTTCAAGGCAACGAAAAAGTCATTCTTTAGAAATGTTAGAATCATATAATAATACATCGAATGTTCCACAAAACGAGGTGACAAACGAGCTGAGATTCCACCGGGAGAATCGCTAGTATTTTGTCGGTCTATGGGTAGACAAGCAGTCAGCATCAAAGTTGCTTACCGTAAATGCAATGAAATGTAAAATTATAAAGCATTTCTTTGTCCACACAGTTTTCTATGGGACTATGGTAATTAATTATTGACGCGACTATACCTCGTATGATAATCTACATTGGTGTAACAGTACATTTCCTTACATCGATAAATCGCTAGTAATACGTTTCGCGAACCGTCGCAACCCGAATGCTTTCCTAATGGACCGGGTAAATGTGCGACCCGACGAAGTGTCCCACCCGACGGCACACTTACCTTTGAACTCGTTGTTCATTTCCTCCTCGTTGTAGCCGACGATGGACGTCAGCATCTTCATGAGCATCCGTTTCTCGAGGATGCTGACAGCCTCGGTGGCGAACACGTCGGCGCGCGAGCAGGGCACGGGCATGAGGCGGTCGTTCATCCACGTCAGTACGCGGGTGACGCATCGAAACTCGGCGTAGCGAGCTATGTTCGAGGATATAAGCAACTCGACCAAAGGTCCGCGGGAGAACAGCAACTGACAAGACAAAGCAAGAGAAAAATTGAAGATATGATGACTCTGTGACGCAGTCGCCAAGGTATCGGCTTCGGCGTCGGGGGCCGTGGGTTCGATCCCCACACGGGGATCAACTGTCCGTGGATCACACTATTTGTGTGATCCACGGACAATTGTCTCGCATCTGGGTGTTTGTCCGCATGAAATTTATGTTTGTAAAACGTCCCTACAACACAGGATAATGTTATCCTAAAGTAAGGGCAACGTTATTAGAAATAAAGAAAAGAGAAAGAAAGAAAATCAAAATTGCGTCCACGGAATGATAGTCTTAAGTAATAGAAAAACAAAATAAGCGCTTTCTTTCTTCTCCTTTTAAAATTGCATCGCCAGCCAAATGGTCTGAAGAAAAGACGATGATGAAACCGGATACATAGTGTCCAAATTATAATCTGTTTATAAATTTTGAAAAAGTTTTATGAAAATATTAAATTGTTTCATGGCCATTTGTAAAAGTGCGGTACAATTTATAAGTTGACAGCAGCAGCAACAACCGATAAAGGACAGTAAAGCCAACTATAGGAAATAAACACCATTGTCGATAGATTTAACTAATATAATTTATTCAATGAAATAATTATTTAAACATCCTTACTAATGTTATAAAGGCGAAAGTTTGTATGTGTGGATGGATGTTTATTGCTCTTTCACGCAAATATTACTGAATGGATTTTTATGAAACTTTACAATAATATAGCTTATACATCAGAATAAGACATAAGCTATAATTTATATACATATTTTATGTACTTCTGTCTGAATTATACGCATTACGGCCTTTTGTACGCACACGTAGTCGCGGGCGCTGCTGCCCGCAGTTCATTATATTTTCATCTAAACATCTACGACGTAGTTCCCGGTTGGCATTCAAGCGGGGAAATTGATTACACCACTGTCTTAACTGTAAGCTACAAGTGCGTTGTATTTTCACATTACCGTTCAAAATTATTGGCTAGCAGAACTCATAGTCAATTTATGTAATGCCAGAATGGCATCGGCCACGTAAACCATTCTGGCACACGTCAAATTTTACATAAAATCTGCCGAATGTAAATACTGAATAAAAAGAGGTGTTTTCTGACAGCAAATACGTTTAATATGGGGATGAGAAAGTCAGATGCACTTCGAAATTTTTTGTGCACTTACGCTGAAGTGACAAACACGTGCAGTCCTCTTTTTTTTTTCTTGAATTACGCTATCCTTTTTATACCATTCGAACGAAACGTGTGCTAAATGTGTACTGAACTTTCGGTAATTTAGCATGCGTATTATATATTTATAGTATAAAATATCATTGAATGACAAATGCAACATGTAGTAGTTTTCAAAAAACATTTTATCTATAAATTGTACTCTTCAACTCAAAAATAAATAACCTTACGCCAGCCGCGCAAGGCGTAAACTTGATTCGATTAAGTTATCTTAAAGTTTTCGACACTAGTTAAAAAACGATTAGAACCATTTTACAGGTGTAAACAGTGTGCTCCAAAATTGATTCCCACTTGAAAGATACTCTGATAATGGATGCTCACCTTGGGTGTCATGTCAATGTTGAACTTCCGATATTCAGAAGCAAAATTGGCCTGGCTCCAAATCTTCTTAGGAGGATCCGTTTTCCCATCTTCAGCTTTAGCTTCTCCTTCTCCTTTTTCATCTTCAGGTGGAGACTCCCTAAATTAAATTGTATTTACTTTTACTGTTTGATTGTTGTTATAATTATATCACATTGTTCATTACATTTATAAAAATGAATGTATCTAGAATAATTCTAATGTTTTGCTTTCATTTATTCTAAAATATACTCTATTTTATTTGTTTTCACCTAGGGTCAAAGTAGTAAACTTAAAGCTTAGCTTGTGTTGAGGACTTTAATTTTTTTAATACCTTAGCTGATTTTAATGTAAATAATGTGAAAGTTTTTTCAAAGCAATTACAAAAGTAAACTCACTTCTCAATATACCACTGCTCTGTTAAATTGTAAACCTGAACCTGCTTTTCAGGGTCAGAGTTTACCTCCTTTATGAACTTCTGTAGGCCATCAAAGTTGTAAGAAGCCCATAATCCACCATAATGGTCGCTGGAGTCCAAATGTAAAACATTTTTGTGTATCCTACTGCAAGCAGCAGCCACAATTGACTCCACCATGCCTTGGTCAAACATCATAGATACAATTATATATAATTAAAATTATATACAATTAGTTACAAAAAGCTAAACCTTAAGTTGATACAAAATGACAACACATTAATGTCTTGAAAATTCATTGGCGTGTATTGGGGTGTATATTCAAAGTGTATCAACTTTGATAAACTGTTATATAATGTTACTTTTTAAAAGTTCAGCCGTCTATTTCAATATTTTGGTATGGAATTTTTGAAATTCTGGACAATAAACCCATAAACCATTGACAAATTTAATCTTTATTTTTTATCTTTGTTATCGAAGAGTCCATGGCGTAGTATCCAAGTATTGGCTTCGGCGCTGGGTCTCATGAGTTTGATTCCCAAACAAAACAACTATTTGTGTGACCCACAGATAATAGTTTCGGATCTAGGTGTTTGTAGAAATGAAATTTATGTATTTTAAATATCCTTACACAGAGCATAATGTTATGTTATTCTTCAGTAAGAGGGCGATGGTTTCAAAGGGAAGACAAAGATGTTCTAGGACTTACTATGCAGCCCCTTCTACACAAAATACAAAAACCATGTTATCTTCTGTTTTATGTATTCAAACATTTAAACACTCAAAGATCAGTGAGGAAAAATAGCAGAGTTAGAATTTATAATGTTTCTTTATTTAAAATTTTGAAAGTAGTAGTAGTACATATAATTTGGTTCAATTGTTTTGCTGGTTCTTTTTTTTCTGGTACTATTTATCTTTTTACTCACATATAAGGTATAAAATAAGAGATCATACAGGGAAGGAAATTAAATTAAAGACATCACTAACTATAAAATAACAAAAGTTTGGAAAATCCAAAAGTGTACATCCTACTTGTTTAATTTTTAAGAAAAAAAAAAGTTGTATCTTTGACTTTTTTGTATTATTGTTGTTAGTATTGACATATTCTAGTGATGTTACTTTCTAAAGAGAATCAAGTGGCGCCGTCGTCGTTTAACGTGAATGATAAATGTGGGTATTAATATGGGTACTATTAATATTAAAAAGGTAACTAATTGATGTTAATTTAATATTTAAAAAATTCCAGTCTCAATACATCTATTTTTTAAGGAGTTATTATCACAACCCCCTTGTGAAAAAAATCTGGACAGCCACATAAATTTTTATTGTTTTTTTTTTTAAATTGAAAAAAAAACATTCTTTATGGAATATGATATTATTAGAACCGTTTTCTAAAAATACATTACTCATATTATTGTATAAGAACCAATTGGTTGTGATAGAGGCAGTTTAAGAGCAAAAAATTGCTTGACTGACGTGTCAAGAGCATGCAACAATATTGTCAGAATATTTTGTTAAAAATTTGGACACTTGATTTGCCTGAGCAGAAGTTATAGTCTGTTTGTGGACCTTTAACAATTAAGTGATTAACAATGATACACAAAATATTAGTAATCTTCAAAGATTTTCTAATAATAATACTGTCAAGCAGTGTATAATATCAATAGAACTTACATCAAATATTTTTCAAACCATCCATGATAATAATTATAACTCTTTTTTTTCATCATTAGTAAATTATTCTAGGTTTATTTCTATTATTTAGGCCCATTGTCAAACAAAATGGCTTAACCTAATTAATAATAGTTATTATTTTTATGAATTGTACCAAAACAGAAGTAAATGTTAAAAAATTATGGAAAATGTAATAAAAATATAAGATACAAGATATATTGAATTATTGAAAAATTTAATTTTTAATGCTAAACAATATCTTAACAATCTATAGTTTTAATAATAATAAATTACTCATCTGTCATATATTATAATCATTTATTATTTCAACAATGGAGTGACCATTAGAATAAAACTATTTCAAAATTAAAGAAAAAATAGTATATATATATATATATATCACAAGAAGTATAATAAGTGTATGTCTAATTTCTTTAAATATTTGTGTACAAAACTATAAAGGTATTGCTAAGTAATTCATTTACATAAAAAATCAAATGTAAAGAATTTTACCAATTATTTAATTTACAAAAAATCAAAACGAATTAAATGAGGGCAATGACTGCAACATCGCTTGCTGAATGAGTAAGCGGCGTATGGAAACATATTTGATTCTTATTAGCCTTAAAATAAGATATTTATCATTAATATTATTTGGTCTACGTTGTGAAGGGGTGTGCGCATAAAGAATAATATATATTGGTCGATCTGGGGCTCAAATAGCCGACACGTACAATGAAATGGCGAGGTGAGCAAAAAGAATAAGATCGATACTAAACTAGGCTAGTCGCCATCACGGCCGGTATCAATTTTTAAGTGAATTAGAACTTACCCGTTCCAACTACGATGACCTGGAAGTCGGTCGGTAAATCGTCATCCATATTGCCGCTTTATATTTTTCAGAGACAGAAAATTATTATATTAAATTCAATAAAATATGGAATGTTCTATCCTCTCACAAAGGATTTTTTGTTTCTCTGACACTTGACAATTATTTGACATTAACAACGTTCTTTTTTTTTCATCGAGGTTTGGAAACCTACAAGCTGTACCTAAAGTCTATTGATGAAAATAAATTAATTTTTTTAGAAAGTGTGATTAATTAAATTATCTTTGCTGGTTCTGAAAATAGCAGGCTAGTACTGCACATTATAATCCCTAGATCGCCCAGTTCAAAATCAAAATTTCTTTATTCAATTTAAGCTTAATTTAAAGTCATAATGCACGTCATGACGTCAGAAACGGGTTCTTATCCAATAAAAGCTACTTCGTGAATAAAAGAAGAAACCGGGCGCAAGAAGTCTCTTCTTGCGCCCGGTTTCTGAAAAATTGACCATCGTCAAATTTCATTTGAGTTGCTAAAAGGATGGTTAAATTCTTTGAATTGATCTTTCTGATTATTAAGAAGATCATTCTGGTCACTTCAGAGAGTTTAACCATCCTTTGGCAACTAAAATTGAAATAATAGAAAACCTTTAATGAATATAATGTTTTCTCTTATTTCAATTTAATAGGCTAAAATTAACAGTAAAATTAGTTTTGGTTACATTACATTGACAAAGACACTAACAAAACAGATTGACAATGACATCAGGTTATGGCTGCTAGTTTCAAGTAAGAAGTTTGCATAACTCTCCCGCACTATTTTAAAACAAATAAATCATCATAATCATAATATTTTAAAAATTCTGGTGTTTTACGGATGCGGCCAGATCTACGAAGTGTTGACTCCGGCGGTGGTGATGATGGTAACTCAGTCTCTAGCTCTATGCTATTATCCGTGCCCGTCTCATTAGATGAAGGAATCTCCAAGTTTTAGTCTTCTGTTCATTATCTATTTACAGATCTACCCCTTCTTTACCCAATGGTGCTAGATGACAATTCGACACCGTTGTTTCTCGGCCATCTGGGAACCGAATGTATGAAAAGTCAGGATTGCTGTGTATTAATTCAACCTCTTCTACTAATGACTGATATTTATTTGTACGATTAAACTTCTTCATCAAGACTTATCCAGAATTTGTAAGGCACAATGGAACAGAAGTGCCGTTAGTAGATCTTCGTGGGTGTCTAAACATTCTTTCATGTGGAGTACAATTTATGGCTGTACAAAGTAATCATCGGATTGAATTTAAGGCTTGTGGTAATATTTGCTCCGAATTTTCTACTGAAAGATTATTCGTCTTCAGCGCCAAAAGAATCGTTCTCCGAAGAGTAGAATTCAATTTTTCTACTTGGCCGTTACCTTAAGGGTAAGTATAAGCTGTAGTTCTACTAGTGGCAATACCTCTTATAATACAATCAATTGTTCGTTGGAAGGTCGAAACACCATTTGTTACTCCAAAAGGAATACGGCTGAACTAGTACAGATTTCCCAGCGCTTCAAAAGCGGTAAATTTGCGTTGTTCAGGTAGTATAGGTTGAAAAATGTATTCTTTCCCACTTTCCAAACTGAGTCCTCAATGTTTGGTAAAGGATTCGCGTCAAATTCTGTGTAACGATTTATTATCTGAGAGTAATCAATCACAAGGCGTTTTCTATGAGTTTCGCTTTTTGTTGTTAGTACTTGGGCCCTCCACAGTCATTTATTTTCTTCAATCACGCCCTCTGCTATAAGGTTTCTGATCTCCTCTTTAATAAATTCACTATTATCTTTGCTGTGCCTACGAGACTTAATAGCAATAGGTTTGCAGTTGGAAGATACATTCGCAAAAAGCGGTACAGCTGATACTGATGCTTCAGCTACGTTACATACTTGAATTGGATGTTTTGGCCCACCGAAAGAGAACTCTAGCGATGAACCTTCTTCTAGGAAGTCATGGCTGATAATTATGTAAGAACAAAGATTTTTTCACGATAAGAAGATTCACATTATAATATCTATGATTTCCGATTTTCAGGGTTTGCAAAGTTTGATCTTCTACTTGTGAAGTATGATTAAGAGAGGCCATAGAAATAGTCTGATTGCAGTATTTTCTTTTTAACCCGATGTCGAGAAGTGATTCTGCTCTTATTCCTCGAATATAAGCGGGTACATTAGCTTTACGTAATGAAGAAGGTGACGCTGTGATACAAGCGGAAAGATCTTCAGTACTTACTACCATCGAATTTGTAGGTTTAGAAGAGCTTCTGCAAACATTGGCAAAGTGCCCCTTCTTGTTGCAAAGCTGACAAGTCTTTTTAAATGCAGGGCAGTTCTTACGAGGATGTACTGGTCCCCCACAAAAGAAACATTTTCGTCGTCAAGGATTGTTAACAGAAGAGTAGGTTCCGTCGTGCACAGTTTATGGTTTCGGAGAAATTAATGTTGGTTCTTTTCGTGCAACAGTATTTAAAGACACAGTATTAAAGCTTTGAGAATTGATATCTGCAGTTTCTAGAGAGTGCTTGGTTGTAAGTTTGCGATCTGCTTTGTGGTAACGCAAGATTGTTTAAACTGGGTACATTGATGTAAAGAATCAGGTTTTTTTTTATGTGACAAGTTGGCAAGCGGGCAGGTGGTCCACCTGATGTTAATTGAATACTGCCTGATGTTAATTGAATAATACCTACCGTTGACAACCTTTAAAAAATTGGGCTACCTCATTCACCAGACGAAATGCATTAGTATTATACTTTCACTTTACGCCAGTCTTATGTGGCAGTTCTTACGAGGATGTACTGGTCCCCCACAAAAGAAACATTTTCGTCGTCAAGGATTGTTAACAGAAGAGTAGGTTCCGTCGTGCACAGTTTATGGTTTCGGAGAAATTAATGTTGGTTCTTTTCGGGCAACAGTATTTAAAGACACAGTATTAAAGCTTTGAGAATTGATATCTGCAGTTTCTAGAGAGTGCTTGGTTGTAAGTTTGCGATCTGCTTTGTGATAACGCAAGATTGTTTAAACTGGGTACATTGATGTAAAGAATCAGGTTTTTTTTTTATGTGACAAGTTGGCAAGCGGGCAGGTGGTCCACCTGATGTTAATTGAATACTGCCTGATGTTAATTGAATAATACCTACCGTTGACAACCTTTAAAAAATTGGGCTACCTCATTCACCAGACGAAATGCATTAGTATTATACTTTCACTTTACGCCAGTCTTATGTGGCAGTTCTTACGAGGATGTACTGGTCGAAACTGGATTGTTAACAGAAGAGTAAGGTTCCGCAGTTTATGGTTTCGGAGAAATTAATGTTGGTTCTTTTCGGGCAACAGTATTTAAAGACACAGTATTAAAGCTTTGAGAATTGATATCTGCAGTTTCTAGAGAGTGCTTGGTTGTAAGTTTGCGATCTGCTTTGTGGTAACGCAAGATTGTTTAAACTGGGTACATTGATGTAAAGAATCAGGTTTTTTTTTATGTGACAAGTTGGCAAGCGGGCAGGTGGTCCACCTGATGTTAATTGAATACTGCCTGATGTTAATTGAATAATACCTACCGTTGACAACCTTTAAAAAATTGGGCTACCTCATTCACCAGACGAAATGCATTAGTATTATACTTTCACTTTACGCCAGTCTTATGTGAGGTCGTGGTAGAAGAAGCTGCTATCTGGCCCCACAAATTGTACGCTGTTAGTCGCCTCTTAAAACCAGCTGGTGTACCTTAGATTAATTCTAAACCATAGCAGCCTCTCCACATAAATTCCTCACAGTACCCCCGATAAACTCGCTATACTAAACAAAGGGCTGGAAGATCTCTTCGCAAGCCCAAAGGATCAAGGCGATTATAGGGACCTGGTTGTTGACGAGTTGAGGAGCTCTATGTTAGATGCGATCAAATGGAAGAAGATTAGTGTACGTCTGAATCAAGGCTGTACGCGATGGTAAAAAAAAATACTTTTACACACCAAGCATTAGAGAAGTCAACTTGCTTCCCTTTTAATTCTATAGCCACTGTATGAACCTATTGCTTTAGCTATTAAGTTACTCCATATCGCTTGGAGTGGTGTTATGGAATATCTGACAAAATGGCTTTATTTTACGTAGAACATAATTGGGCAAGATTGTTAAATTTGTGTCGTCAGTGTATTTATCTAATCACTAAAAAAATTAAATATATTAGTTTTGTTTTAAAAAAAGGACTAAATGATAGTGGATCACATAGCTTATTACCTACATAGCTACGATTAGACGAGTAAAGTAGTATTTCCGAAAGCTACTGAGATATTTACTGAAACATTTTACGCGGGTGACAACCGGAGTGGCCATCCCCCCCGTAACCCCTAGTGACGTCACTGGCACGTCATTACTTCACCTCTAAATCAGTGTTCCTTTTTAATGAAATCCCAATCGAGCAAGCCGTGCCAGCGCCAGAGTTCATAATCGCCCGTAAAGATTTTCAGCTTTGACGGCCTTTTTATACAGATTGCGTTCTGATCTCGAAGGTCCTTTATTCATGTCGATATAAAAATGTAGTTGGCAATATCTGATTCGGCAAAGTTAACTATGAGTGACGGAATATAGAGTGCAGAGAACAAGGCAGTAGACCGCTAGTAGTTGGTAGCAACCATTTAAAGGCATTTTGATATTAGAACTTTGACGTAGGGAAGGAAACAATTTTTTTTTATGTTAAAAGTTGGCGTACGACCAGGCGATCCACCCGATGTTACTGATTACCACCGCCCGTGGACATCTGCAACATCTTACGGGTTGTAGATACGTTGATAGTATGACACTGGAAGTGGCTTTACGCCGCTCTTATGACATCGCGGTAATTCCCCGGACGCGCCTTTCCGTTCATGCTGCTGCTATGCCCTACCGAATTCGTACCTATTAAAAAAATTTGCTAAAATAATTCTGTAATACTGTAGAAGCTGTAAACTTTGCCACCGTAGAAAAGTAGAATAAAAAATATACTACCGCAGGGACCTCTTTTATTGCGTACAGATTATTGTTTCGAAGAAGAACCTATTTGTCTTATCAATTATTTACGTAGGTATGTAAAACAATTTTTTTTACCCGTGATATCGTCATAAAATGTCAATAAAAATGTTATTTAACAGCGATTGAATGTACCTAATAGTTTTCTATTTAAAATTTAAAATTATCCACGAGTCAATAAATATAATTCGTTGCAATTTACGACTTTCTATTAAAATTTTATTACGGCTTTTATTACGTCCCGCAAAAGCGTCATTATTTGTTTACTCAGGAAACCAAATATGCGCTCGTGAAAAATGAAACAACTAATGATTTGGCTTTTATATTTACAATATTTTTACATACATTTTCAACATTTTACAGGCTACTGGGAGCTCATTTTTATTCGAGCAACGAACAGTTACATAAACTAACACGTAAATCTAGATCGTAATAAAAACGACTTGTGTTAGCTACTACAGGGCCCGCCAGCGACGGGAACGGTACACTTGAATCAATAAAATCCTCGTGTCCGGGTAACATTTTTACTAAACAAGAACAGTGGCAGTTTCTTTGGAGATACATTTCGTACGGTCGACGTTTTAGGCCGCTTCAGCGCTCATCTATTTTATTGTTCAAAGGACGTATCGGTATCAAATGCCTTCAAAGTTAGGGTAGTCGCAAACAACTTATTATACAATTACTCCATTTCAAACTGACTCCGCATTGACATCTACACTAACATAATTAGCACTATCTACATATTACAAACACCATGGAGTCAGTAAGTATTGTTTTCTGGAGGATTCGTTTAGATCGGTAAATGGTAGAAAATAAATATCTCAGAGTAGCCATTTTCATATTTAAAAAAAAATCACCCCAGTTTTTATTTGCTGCATAACCGCATTACCAACAATTCTTTATTTTTTATAATAAATACAGATATAACAATTTTTCAAAGGGCCTGTGAATTATCAATTATTGTACTGAGAGATAAGACGCTGGCATCCGATCTTCATGATGTGATATAGTTTACACGTTCATTAATTTTCTTCGTTATTAAAAAATATAATTGTAGTTTTATTTAATTTGTAAATCAAAAACGAAAAGCAAAACATAACGGATTCAAGGAATAGGGGTAGGGTTAAGAAAATGAATGTTCAGAACGCAGTTTAAATGAACGTGTAGCCCGTTATCTTTTAACTAATGTACAAAATAAATCTTACGTTAATACTACTTACAAAATCTTAAAAATTTTTGGAGAACAAAAGTTGTAAATGCAATCATGTTTCCACGAACGCTCGCTGTTGTATTAATTTACACTATTCATAAGTTTAAGTATACAGATGAACTGCACTGATGCTAAAAACTTAAGCACTCTTGGCCAAGACTCGCAGTACTCCCTTAAGGTGACTAGAGATTTAAAGAAAGATAATAGTACAAAATTAATTCAATACAAATGTTTATACACGACGAAATATCAATAATATTAAAATTGTGACACTCCTACTCTACACTGTTACAAGAATATAAAAAATTGACTAGGATGCTATCACACAAGGCTGAATTACATCAGGTATATAGCCCACCATATACTTCACAAACAACACTAGGTCAAATCTATTATTATAATTACATTGGTATATTTATATTTGCCTAAATAAAAATGCAATAAGCACGATAAAAATACAAACATGTAGTAAGTACATATAAGAGCATCTCGGCGCAATATTTTTATGTACTGGTAACAAAATATTTGTAGAGAATGTGAGTTGACAGCAAAAGATATTTGTCTGTTTTTAGAAACAGATCTTTACGGAGAATAACGATTACAAATTTAATGATACGCTCAGTTCAGAATATTAGGCGATTGGCATGATGAATCGTAAAAATATTTCCACATCATTCATTTTATCTTATAGTTATGTACATGAGTAAAAATTTTTCAGATACTATAATGTCCTAATTATTACAATGTACTTATGCGCCTATAAAAGACTAATTCGGTAGATCTTTATATTACCTAGTACTTTCAAAAGAACACTAAACGGTGAACATACCAGGCAGAGTTACCGCCGTAACTGTTATTTTGTACCGATCAGTTATAAACAAAGAATAAATATCCGGTAAGGCCCGAGCGATTGCAGCCATTGAGATGTTGTAGACAGAGTAGAAGCGTGTTATAGCATTAGTTACATATTTGAGTTTATATATATACGGGTAGGTACTTATAGTTGTATGTTTATTAATTGTGTGCGCTTAAACAGAGCCCGTCTACTTTATCATTTGAGACTTGAGAAGAGTCAAGGGCTCGTTCCCTATCCATTCTCTAAATATAACATCTCTAGGGTTTCGCTACGGGTGAATGAAATTTCGGTACCGAGCGTCGGCTGTAACAATATGATAAGCCAGAAAGGTGGAATCAAAGAATAGATTAGCTAATAAACAACACGAAGCTCAACATCCCGATTTAGAACGTTCAAGTGAACGAATCCAAATAAACCTTATCACGATTTGAAAACATCAACATCATGAAACATCAATATTAACAAAACAAACTATTTACACACTTTAGACACATATTAAAATATCGACGCCTTCGTTTGTTTTAGTTAACGTTAAAGCTTTAGAGCAACGAAATTTATCGTTGGAATTTTATTAGATTTTTATTAGACGTAAATAACTTACGCGAAAATTTATCTTTCATATACTACACATCAATTATTTTGGAATGATAAATATAATTTTTAACTCGTTAGACGTTGCAATCAAATTGTCCTTGTTAAATTTTCCACAATGATATGTCGAATCGAATTTTCACTGTGATATGTAACTAACTACACGGGATGACATTCAATTAGGTCGATATTTTAACACGTTGCTAACACGCGAGACGGAGGGGCGTCGACGGCTACTAGAATAGGGTCTCGCGCGAGGCGGAGGCGCAGCGGTGGCGGTGGCGGCGCGGCGGCGCGGGCCGGCACGCCAGCTCGGTGCACTCGCCGCCGCCGCTGTCCGTTGAGAACTGCTCCACCTCGTCGTCGGTCGAGTCCTCGTCCTCCGCGAAAACCGAGTCCGGCCCCACGGACGCCAGGTCGCCGTCCATGGCGAACGAGGGGCCCACGCTGCCCGCAGACGCGAGGGGGGCCAGACGCTCGCTGGGACACGGCGATAGCCGCCTGTCGGGCAGCGAACAGACCACGGACGAGCCGCGCCGCTCCAGGTAGCTGCTGCCCGAGCTGGAGCAGGTGGCCGAACTGAGGCGGCGGTCCCGCGCGCACGCGGCGGACGCCCGCCTCTCGGCAACGCGCAACGCGGAGCCCGGCAAGGAGTCGCCCCGCAGGGTCGACAGACGACGTGGAGGCGTCAACAAACTACCGTAGCCGCCGCCGTACGACGCGAAGCGGGACCTCCGCGGCCACGGCGGCTCCTCCCCTATGGAGGGGCGCGAACGGGCCCTTTCCGAGAGCGCTTCCTCCAGCGCAATGGTCAGCTGCCGCTCCTCCTCCACCGCCTCCTCCTCCGCCACCACGGCTTCGGCGAACTCCACGAGCTTCGGATCGTTCAGCGCCTTCACCGATTTGCTCCGGCTCTTGTAGACGATGAGGAACACCATCAACGCGAAGAAGCCGCCGAGCGTCGCGGCTATGCGCACTCCCGTCATGACGTCGTACGTGGCGTAGAACTCGATGCGCACGCGGTCTCTCTCGGCCTGCGTGCGCTCCGTACTGTTCCTCTCGGCCGCGCCTGCCTCTCCGGCCCATCCATCTCTATGCTCCATCGCGCGGTCAAGTGTTCATTGCCTGAGGAAAAAGATAAACGAATGAAATGCGAACTTTCATCGCGATCGCTAAATGAAATATGACGTACGCGGGCAGCTTCCAGATAAAACTAGACTGTTATGATAAGCATTGATCTGTCAATACCGTATTTTATCGCACAGATAACTAAGCCAGTAATAATACTGGGGAAGCTTATCTAATATGAAAAATATAATTTCAACCTTCTGGTCACACCTCGAAGAAATTCTATAAACTAATTTTGCATCGTAGTGGCTGGGAGAGTGAACAACAATGTTGTCGCGAAGCGATTTCCGTTCGCCAGGTATTATAGCACAATGTTTGTGGCGGCGACGTATCTGGGACGCGGCGTATCACATAACACTGCTGCGCTTACTGTCTTTTAGTCTTTATTTTCGGACTAAATATACCTCTGATTTAATAGTAGGATAATACATGTGTACGTATATCTACTTTGTATGTTAACACGAACAATTGATATTGAATCATACGTTTTCATGCAAATGAAAGGTATTCATATTTTTCCCAGACTGAAAAAAAATCTTAATTCAATTTTTTATTGGATATGCAAAAATAAACAATGAGTCTGCGCAGTCATGTAATACAAACATTTCGTTTTACTCTTAACAAACCTTTTTTGAAGTGAAGCTTCTTTATCGTGGTTGGAAAAAAATTTAGTGTAACATTTTTGCGATACGCGCCATCTTTTTCTTAGTGATTTTAATAGTTGACGCTAGATGGCGTTAGTTCCTTTGTGTGTTCATAACAATATATATATATGTTATATTAAAGTGATCAGCAAAATCAAAGGGTTTATTTTAATTCTAATTCTAAAATGTAAACAATATATTTCGTATTTCAGTTACCATAAGCCATTAATAACACAAATATATAATAACGACATCAATGATAGTAATAATTCAATTACAATTAATGAAATTCAATAATAATATTTGTAGTAATGACAGTGCTAGACTAGCGACTAGCTGTCGACTAGTGACTAGCTCTAATACTTCAGAGCACGAATGCTCTTCGAAGCCTCGATCGGCTCCTGGAACTTGCGGACGTCGATCCAACGTCCGCAAGTTCGGTTTTCCAAAAAAACTTCACTCATAACTCGCGCGCGAGTCGAATGTCTGCCTTCTACTCACTGGCTGACTATTCGGCAACGAAGGACCATGTACAAATTCAAAGCGGTTGTATTTTGGGTCCGTGAGGTTAATTGAAATAAACAAGGTTCACGTTGCAAGTTTTTTAATCAACAATTTTTGCGGACCCTCATACTAATTACAAGGGTCAAACCATAGTGTGTTTTAATTTACTACTAACGCCACCTATGTATTACAAATAAGAAACTAAATATTATACAAAGCAAAAATGAAATAATTGTAGAATTTGTATTTATGTCTATGATAATAAAAGCCTTTTATTAAACTTTATCTAATTTAACTTTATTTAACCTATTTCTGTAAATTTGCATATAGTAAATTATTTTTTGAAAAATAACGTCATAAAAAATTTTCACTTCTTACGAGTGTACGCTAGTACACGCACACATTTTTTAATTATATTCGTCGGCATTTAAAAATAGCAACGAAAAACTCAATAAATATTCACGGCTGTTTATAAATGACCTAGGTTAATATGAGCCAAATAAATTACGTCGTTTAAGCTCGTTAATTACCATAAATATAAATAGGGCCTAGCGATTGGAATGTTCCATAAAGACATATTTTTGCCTTCGAAATAAAAATTTTATTAAATAACTATTTTATTCCACAAGTCAAAAGTCAATAAATTCAGTTTAATATATGCAAACGTTTTTTAAATTGAAAATTTTCTTTTTCAATTATCAAAGTATGAGTACAATTCAAACTAAAAATATTGATAATTTCTTGTAATTACGCGATTACAATTCCGGATCTCGGTATGCTATGGATACTTAATACAGCACTGCAGGTGATCGTTATTTTAAACACCTTGGCTTTAGTGTACTAGGTAAACCAACCCCAAATCCATCACCAGCGAAACGGTAAAGTTTAGTGAATGCGTAACAATAATCCTCAGATGCGCCTTCTCGGCTTCTTGACCGGGATCGTTGACGCACTCTAAATATTGACGGATGAAACTTAAATGACGCACGCTAAGCCCTCTAAGCAGCGGCCCTTAAAGATTCGATTGCCGGTTTTCCGTCTTATGTCGTCAGCCCGATCGTCCCGTGTTCAAATTAGGATCGCTGTCCGCAGAGGGTTTAATTGACGTGGCGTCACAGCGCGTTATAGAAGGATTTACGTTTCTTGTGAGGAGCAGTAATGCGAAGCAGAGTAAACTGCAAATTATATTTCCGGTCTCTTGACTGGTCTCAACATTGCATGGGTAGTATTAAAATTTGTAAAAAAATGGACACACGTCTTCCGGATTCTTTTTTTTATGTGAATAGGTGGAGAGCGAGCTGGCGGTTCACCTGATGCTTCTTTTATGTGATAAGGTGACAAGCGAGCTGACGGTTCACCCGATGTTAAGTGATAACCGCGGCCCATGGACATTTGCAACACTAAGGTTGCACATGCATTACCATCATTTAATAAAGCGGGCTCGGCTACCTCACACACCAGACGAAACACAGAAGTATGACACGTCCACTTCAAGCCGGTCTTCTGTGAGGTCATGGTACATCCCCGTATCCGTGCAACAGCGAACTGTTGCGTGGCCATACCACACTTAAATTCGCAAGTCAAATAACCAATCATAAAATAGAAGAATAAAAGTCAGGAATGCACCGTTCAACTAAAAGAAACAGCAGGAACATTAAAAATAAAAAAAAACGTGATAATGGCACTGCATATTCTAAAATATAAACTGGATTTCAGTGTAAATAAAAGGCAATAAAAATCCATGTGGTGGTTATATTAATCGTGTTATACACTTATCATTTTACTTCTTTACTCTTTAATTAGCCTCCATAATTGAGTATAATATTCATAAGAACCTCTGACAGCAAGGTTTTATCCCTTATTACCGGGCGAAAAAGTTGGAAGCTTTTCTTTAGATACATTTCCAGGTAATTCTTGTTAAATCCGCTTATGCTCAATATATATTTTTACAGCATTATATTAAATGCAATGGATAAAATAAAGATTAATTTAAGGATAAAGGAAATGGGTTTAAACTAAGTCCGATAAATGTAAGATCGTTACCAGAATATGAAATTAAACAAATTAAAATGAATTGAGCAAACTTAAGTTATACGCCTTAAATGTGCTTATACTAATACTGAAAGCAATTCTGAGAGTTATTACGTACCCAAATAGGTCAGACTCAGAGAAACTACTTATATATTTATAGAGTTCCACTAATTTATTTTTCATCTTTTATTGCAACTGGTTTTTTTTATGGAGAAAAGGGGCAAAAGAGCAGGAGGCTCACCTGGTAAAGTGATTATTCTGCAAATCTGTTATTGCTACTATTTCATTTTAAGCTAATATTCTGTTACCATGCAATTAAATGAGGTTTCCTATAGAAGGTCAAATAAAGCTTTATTATTTTTTTATATTAGTATTATTCGAGTACGGTATTCAAAATTGGTTCTGATCGTAGTAATAGTTGTGTTTTGAGCGAGTTCTGCTCTGATCGGAAAACATATTTTGAATAAAATGCATATTATAAGAAATACGATATATATAATGCCCGGAAACGCTTGCTTTGTGTATAAAAAGATAATTCAAACTTGTTTTAAACCTCCATTTCATTAGCTTCATAGTCAAATAAATGTGCAAAATGGTATAATATAAAGAAATTTAATTAGTTTAAATAAATGGAAAGGATTTTTTTATATCAACGCTAATTTAAAAACACGAAAATATTTACATACAGATAAATGTCATGACAAATATTGAGGACATAAATATTGAGAAATATTAAATAATTTTTTGTTTCCATAAATTTAAAGTTATTGTTTTTTGAAACTATTTGATATGCTTTGTTAGGTTCCCAACTTTGTATATCAAGAGGCGACATCATACATTTACAAAGAAAAGCGATTGATTTATTTTTAACTCGGTTTTGTAGCCCGGAAGTAATTTAATTAGATCAATTCAGTAGACCAGCGTCTTGGTGACTACAACCTGCTTCACGAGGGTCCTTGAAAAAATTAATTTCACCTATCGAACCTCAACAATCCGTTTTATTCGGCACAATATAAAAATCATGATGTAAGCGGTTTTTGCTGATTTTTTGGACCAGCCGCCTGCCTGACGTCAACCCTCCTTGGAAACAAACACCAAGATCCAGAACAATTATCTGTGGGTCATACAAATACTTGTCCCATGTCGGAAGCGAACCTACAACACCGAACGCCGAAGCCTATAACTTACCAGCGACTACATCGAGTAAAGAACCCGTTTGAGAGAGATAAATTTAAAAACTTTTTTATGTTAGTTTAAAACAATAAAGCATTGGTCTTACTTTATACGGGTTTTTATAATAAATATATTTAAATTTTATAACCTGATAATTGGACATGGAATTAAACAAAAATATTACATTTTACTTTATTGGAATGTTTTTTTTTTTACTTTATTGTATTTTAAATTAATACCCAACTGGATTGAAAGCGTTCTTTTAGCGTCGGCGAAAATATTCAGTATTAATTTAAATAATATTAATTGTTGGTAGTTCATTAGTTATTCTGTATCACTGTATCTTCCAACAATTAAAAACGTGCGTTACCTCTTTGCATAAAATTTATTTAGTACTGGAATTAATTACTTTTTATTCTCAAAAAATTTACGATTCCGCTGTTTAAAATCGAGACATGCCCTAAATTTGATTCGGATTATGCAAATGTGCTAATGGTGTAAAATTGTACATAATAAACTTTAGATAATGTGGTGTGGATATGAAAGTCAACTTTTGTTTAAAATGACAGTGTGGAATTCATCAGAATAGAATTATTATTGATTGTTTACGGACCCAGACAGAA